GAAACCAAAACCCAATTGTAATATATTTTTTTAATAAAGATTTGATTGTTCATGTGATATATTTGATTAGATTTTTAGTAGATATATTGCAACAAGATTTTGAGAGAAAATATCCACCATAATTTTGCTATATATTAGGAAAAATAACAAACGAAAAAATAATTAGTAAATGTATTAAAATAATTAATATTTTAATTTAATAATAATTATTTCGTAATTAAGTATATTATTTCGTAATTAATTATTATATTTTTTAAATTAATTATATTAGTTTGTTTGAAATTGATATATATATATAATTGACATCGATTATGATAACCGACACAAATAATAACATCACTTTTACAAACTGATAGGAAATATAGTATCATTTTTGAAAATTGACTCATTATTAATATCAGTTATAAGAACTGATACAATTTTTTTTCTTTTGCATCAGTTGATTAAAAACCGATGTGATTTATTTGCATCGGCAATATAAGTATCACTCTTATAAATGATGTAAAATTTCATTGTATCACTTATAAGTAATGTAAAGTTACAAAATAAATGATTCAATACACTCATTTTTTTTGTAGTGATAAATTAGTATTAACCACAGTTTTTTATCGTTTATTTGGTCGAGTGGACCTTCCAACATCCGTCTCTTAGAGCAAGTCCACTGGGGAAAATAAATGGGTTGCCTAAAAAAAGTGGACCAGAAATTTAATCAAAAATAATAAAAAATGTCCACTTTAATGAGAAACGTTGCTTCTAACAGCAACTGAGGCAACGTTGCTTAACCTTAAAATTTTCAAATTGTAATATTAAAATGGCAAGCAACCCACAAAGAGTACTAACCATTAATCATGGTCTTAGGATTCTCAATTATTTTGTTTTGTCTCACATTGTGTTACGTGTAAATCTAATGGAAAGAAGCAAAAATAAACAAATACTAGATCTCTCTATTTAATTGATGTACAATTACAAACAATGTTTCTTTAATACATTTTGTCGAGAGAAACACAATACCAGGCAAAAAAAGTAGCAATTCCTTTCGTTTCTACACATCCATGCATTTTCATTTTCTGATATATGAATTATGGATACAACCATGAAGGCAACGTTAATTCTGTACGTACAGAAAAAAAAAAAAAAAAATCTCATATGATGCGTAGTACTCAACACTTTAGTAATCGTAAATACATTTTGGTCTTACATATATTTACAGAAAGCAAAAGTCTTACTTTATATCTTGTAGAAACATTAACTATATGCCACTTTATGAAAGCATGCATACATATATAGGAGTAATACTTAAAACACGATCCATGCCTTGATATAATATAAGCAATTAGAGAGCTTATCGAGATGCCTCAGGCTTTGTACCTTGGTGATTTTGTTGTCTACTCCAAACCTTATTCTTCACTGACCAAACCAAGTTCAATTTTAACTCTTCGTATAAAGTTTTTTGGACGTATCTCGCTTTCGCTTATATTTTTTACTTAGTTTTAACTATTACAAAACTTTTTTGTAAAAATGGTCCGAACAAGTTATTCACGATCATTAGATATTCACACTTGTTCTAATGTTCATTTCTTTTCACTTAATCATGGTAATGGACCAGTTTTGATATCCCGGTCTGCAATATGTATTGTGCGCTTTATATTAACTATTTTTTTAAAAAAACAATGAAATAAACTAGTTTCGTCGATATCCAACCAAATATACGAATTTTATCTCAAATATTTAACATTTATCTCAAATTTCTTGTATCCTTTTCATCATTCAATTATTTAAATAAAAACATACAAACTATAGAAAATTGTCAGTAGTTCTTCTGGGTTGCTTAGCTACTCTTCTATGAAGAAGTACAATGGGAACAAAAAAAAAACAAAAGTTAGGTTCACTGAACTAATATAGTCACGTGTTGCATTCATTACACGGGCTTTCTTTTATCCCGGCAGCCGCCGCCACGTCAGCATATCCGGCGTTCTTCAGACAAGAGTGAGACCAATATGTCTGAGAAAGCCCTGATGACGAACTTGTGTGTGTCGGTTGGGTTCAAGGAGAGATAAGTGAGTAACAGCTCATCCAAGAAATCGTAACCGTCTTCCGGATCACGGCTAAGTTCTCCGGCTTCAATGGCGGCGTCGATCATCTCTTGCATTGATAGCCGGAAGTCAGTTAACGGGTCCGGTGAGTACACGTTTTGCGTCACGGCGGTTCCTCCGGTTATAAGCCTCGTTGTAGTAGTCGCGGCAGTATCGTAACTCTCCTTGTTCTTCTTCTTCTTCTTTGTCGACGTGATAGTGGCGTCATCGTAATTATTATCAGAGGAATCTCTTGACCGGGTCTCTGGCGAGTCGGTGATTGCATTGGACCGGCCTGGAGAAGAGAAGAAGAAGCGACGGGAAGCGAAAGCGGCGGATACATCAGGAGAGATATCAGATTCATATGATGATGTAGTGGAGGAGGTAGAAGTGGCGGCCTGAGTGGTGGAGGAGGAGGAAGGTAAGTCAACGATACGGTTGTGGTTGTAGAGGAGGTTAAAGTTGTTGAGGAGAACGATGGAGGGACGGCCGGGAAGGTCGGAACCGTCTTGATCGGCGGAGGACGGAGGAATACACGGCGAAGAATAACATTTGGTGAGATTCGACGGGAAGCAAAGATGGAGGCTTTTCCACAATATTTTTGGCATTTTTTTTTTTTTGTAAGAGAAGAAGGAATCAAAATGAGAATAAATGTCCCGAGCAAATGGATATGTTGGCTTATTTTGTAGCAATATATACACAAATTATGTTTCATAGTAACGTTTCTAATAAGGGTACTTATGTCATTTACAAATTCATTAATGTTTTTTGTCCAAATATAATTTTTTTACAGCATAGTAATTAATAAATGAGTTACTATCAATTGTCTGATTTATCTCCTTTTCAAGAATCGTAAATGCAGCTACCAAGAATCTAAATGTTGACTATATTTCTCACGAATCACAACATGCACTGGTGTGTTTGCAAGTTGCAAAACAAAATAAGTGTACTTTGTTACTTATTAGTTATTACTTATAAGTGGAGTTAATTAGAATCCTTAATTTACATTCTACCAAAAAAAAAAAAAATCCTCAATTTACATATATCTAATGATGAAACGTTTACAAACTTTATCCTAAAGGAGTGTTGTACTTTCGAGCGAATGTGAATACCAGATATTTACTTTTTTTCTTTTTTGCTTCTTTCTTTTTGGTTTGATACTTTCTAAATTTGTATTTATTTACTTTGCTTTTCTGAACACCGACGTACAAAGCTGAATATATAACATGGGGAATATTTAATACGTAAATATTTTATTTATTTATTAATAAATTCTGGTTTATTTGATATAACCCATATACGTATATAGTTTTGTCAGAATTACAAATACTGCAAAACATGAAGAATGATTGTCCTTGCAATTACAGAACAGAGCTCACGAGGAGGTGAACATAAAAATTAAAAATCCACCACCTAGATTGGTCCACTCATCATGACGTAAAGCCAAAAGACGTTAGTTCAAGTACGCATACTTCTCTAGTGTGGTCCTTATTCTGGTCCACCGGTCCGATTCACAAGGTCAGGTCGAGTTTTCACTGGTCCGACCAAACAGGTCATTCGGTCAATTTTTTCTTCCTTCTTTAAAAAAAACCTTAAAGATATTTCCAGACCAAGTGACTAATTGCTAAGGTTGCCCACTGTTTTGTTCGGTTGTTAATATGGTGTCAAATCTGATGCATGCAAATCATTTAGATTCATCATGTTTCATAATTTGGAATCAAATCATATAATTTTAAATAATTGTTCTTTGGTTGTTACCTACATGTTTTTCAGTCTAGAAAGTAGGAGATCACTTATATAGGGTAAGATTGAATCAACTTCGGAATGCAAAGCCTATCTATCATTTTGCCAAGGCTACCATGGACCGGTGGTACCACTTTGAGTGGTTATCCGGCACAAGGAAAAAAAAAGAAAAAGATTCGAACTCATCTTTTTATGTAGGCCACAACAGAAGATATAGCTATCAGATTTGTTGATACCCAAGCTACTCATGATTCGTCCAATCTTCCCTCATCAAATGCGAACCACAAAAACGGCGAGTGATGATGGATCAAAAGATTTAGATGTGTCTTAAGACCATCACAGAAGATTGGCAATATTATGGTAAGTTGTAGAATGTTTTTGCAATGCCTTAAGACCATTATGCCCAATGTCTTGTTGGTGTATGGGACAACAACTTAGCCCCACAAATTGATGTCTATATTTTTTGTTATGTTTAGACTGGAATATTGAGACATATTTTCTCTATATTTATTCCTTTTTTTGGGGTCATCAGTTTTCTACACTTATGGATGTTGCAAAATGACCTATTCAGTTCAGTTCAATATTATCCCCGACTCTGATCTTAACCAACTCTAACTTAGCCTCCATTTTTAGGTTTTAGGTGTGATTCAACCAAGCTACATATGGCAATACAAATTAACCCGCGGTTAGAATTGATACGTGTAACGAGTTGTATCCGGGCTGAACCGGGAGAAATTAGGTCCAATATGAAACCCACATTTTCTTGGAGTCATCACAAAAGAAAAGAAAATATTGAGTTGCAAATGTATGGTTGTTCTTAGTTGGGTCTCTTTCTCTCTCAAACTATCTCAATCTCCTCGGTGTTTGTTACAAGGACATGAGAACTACTAGACAAGAAAAGCTCATTAATGCTAATATAAATCCAACATTCAAGGCACATGACATGAGCGTTGAAGCGTAACTTGTCAAATGTTAACATCAAACCTAGACATAACAAGAGTTTACATATATATATATATATATATATGCAGCCTTATTTATCCTGTTCCAACAAACTGGATTATTCCATACTTTTATTTCATTTCTATAAGTGATACCACCACGGAATACTTTTATTTCATTTCTATAAGTGATACCACCACATTTTTCAGGTTCAAAGGCTCAAGATCGACTTGCTACCTCTAATCCGTTCCCTGCAAAATTTGACAGACAGAATCTGTAAGTTGAAACATACATGAACGCCAAAGACAATCCTAGAATACATCTGTTCTCCATTGTTAGAGTCATGAGTGAATTACTAAAGCATCGGGCATAATATATAAGAGTAAACAAACATCTCACTTATAGTTAAACCGGCTTATGAGTAAAAAGAGTCTAATTTAATTACCATCTGGATCAAAGAAGAAAACTTGCTTGACTTTTCCATCAGGAAGTGACTTCTGAAAAGTTTCTATCCCTTTCTCCTACATCATACAACACCGAGAGAACATCAATGAAAGATTAAGGGGATTAACTACAACAATCTTGAAACGATAACATACTACTTACCATTCAATACCAACCATATCCATAACTATTGAATCTGTATAATTAAAAGGGTCATGTAAAAGAGAAAAAGTAATGCAAGGAATTAACACCTTGAGCAAACGAAGAAAAGAGTCGAAGTCAGAGACAGAGAAGCAGATATGGTGACCCGTTGAGAGATGGCTAGGATCCTTAACCGCAGAGGTGGAACTGTAAGGACTTTCTGGAAGGTTTGATGAAGGGTTCCTCTGGATGATGTGCATAGCAAAAGCACCTGGTAAGTTTAGCCAAATGACCTTTATGTCTCCAAAATCAGGGTTTTCAATCTCCTCAAACCCAAATATCTGGAAAAAAATCACACATATAAGCCATTGGTTTATTTCAGAACAAGAGGAAGGGATACAAAACTAACTTGACCAAAATGATTCGAGGTTACAAAACACTAAGCGAAAAACACTAACTCAACCAAAAGGATTGAAGTTACAGAGCACTGTGTCTGTGATTACTACAACTTGTAGTCTACAATTGATGATTTCTGAAATCTCAATTTGTATTCTCTTCCAAATGTAGACACTCTCAACAATAATTAGAAATGAGACAAGTGAACAGAGGAAGAAGAAACACAGCCACAAGAGAAAATCTCTACAGACAAGGCCTATTTGCAAATCATAGATTCTATTGCAGATTCTCGTTAACCCAAAGGTTCTTTTTTTTTTTTTTCCAAATGGTAACAACTCAAAATCAAGAACAGAGAACTTAATGAATCCGCAAGAGGACAGGTAAAAAGGATAAGAAATTGAAAACGTGGATTAGGGATTATGGTTTACCTCTTTGTAAAATTGGGCGAGGCGTGTGATGTTCGATGATTCCCTAGCTATATGGCCTAGACTCGCCATCTTTGGATTCTCTTAACCAAACAACTCAAAAACAGAGTTACAGTTTCCGCAAGGTTGAAACAACAATGGTCGACTTAAAAGGACAAGTAAAAGTAAATCCCAGTCATCATGTTTTGTACGACGGATACGTGGCACCCGGTTAGTTTAACACAACTTCAATCAAACCATACGGCTAAGCCGATCGGTTTTGACTAGTCCAGTAGAAATTTATGGAATTTTCTACTGAGTAAGATTAACCAAACATATGTATCCGGTTCAAAATATCCGGTTCGATATTAAACCCTATTTCTCGTAATCAGAATCTCTCACCTCCACAACATTTGTTTTTCACATTCTCCAATCGCACTTGCTTTACCTCTCTCTCCTTCAGATCAGACGTCAATTTCAACTCTCCCCAGTGAAGAGAAGAAGAGATTTCACCGGCAACTTCTACTCCGATCGGTCAATTGAAGATTGACATGGAATCTAATTCTGGCGGAGGCGGAGGAGCTGAAGGCGGAAGAGCCACAGCTGGAGGAGGAGGAGGGAGCGATGTTGAATTGGTGAGCAAGACGTTGCAGGTTGAGCATAAGCTTTTCTATTTTGATCTTAAGGAGAATCCTCGCGGAAGGTATCTGAAGATATCGGAAAAGACGTCGGCGACGAGGTCAACCATCATCGTTCCTTCCTCCGGCATCTCTTGGTTCCTCGATCTCTTCAATTACTACGTTGATTCCGACGAACACGAGCTTTTTAGCAAAGAATTGCAGCTTGACTCCAAGGTTTGAACTTTATCATCACTCTCCTCTGAGGTACAGTCGTTGACTTTTTTGTTTGTTTTTGTTTTACTCTCTTTTGATTTATGTGTGCTGCTTTGCTTTGTTTATTAGGTGTTTTACTTCGACATCGGTGAGAACAGAAGGGGCCGCTTCTTAAAGGTATCCATTTCTTTGTCCAAGTCTGAAGTTTTTTAATTTCTTGAATTTGAAGTTTTAGGGATGTTTAGGAAAGTTGTTATCATTTTGGTTATGTGACTAGGTCGAGGTATCAAAAGTTTTAGGAGTGTACTAATGGGGGGTTTTGGTGTGGTGGTAGGTGTCAGAAGCATCAGTTAGTAGAAATCGAAGTACCATTATTGTTCCAGCTGGAAACTCTCCTGATGAAGGGTGGGCAGCTTTCAGGAATATCTTGGCTGAAATTCATGAAGCATCTGGACTTTTCGTGATGCCGAACAAGGTCTCCTTTGATTCTTTTTGTTTGTTGTTGAAACCGTTTACTAAGCTCTCTGTTTATTTGGTCTCTCATTGTCTCTTTGTTTGGGAACAGAAACCTTCTGATGGACAGGAACATCTGGTTGGACTTTCAGATGATGTTGGAGCTGGATTTATACCTGGCCATGGTAGTCAGCAGCCATCTTCTTCAGAACACACTGTGGATCGAGCAATTGATTCGCCAGGACAGGATGAAACGGCAATGACGGGTGTTTCTAAAGTAATCAGAGCTGACCAGAAACGGTTCTTCTTTGATCTCGGGAACAATAACAGAGGACACTTCCTGAGGATATCTGAGGTAAAGTCTTTGCTGTTTAACTTTTAAGAGCTTGATTTTGTTGTGGTTTTAAGACTAAGCATTTTTCCCAATACACGTAGGTGGCAGGTTCTGACAGGTCCTCCATCATTCTACCATTATCGGGTCTTAAGCAGTTTCACGAAGTAATTGGTCACTTCGTGGACATCACCAAAGACAAGATTGAAGGTATGACAGGTGCCAATGTCAGAACAGTTGACCCTCCTCAGAGATAAGTATTGATTCTTTTTAGAGGATGGAATCTCCGATCTTCTAATAATTTGAATCTGGCTACTTCAAGTAGCTGTCTGAACCTCGGTGTGCAATAGTTTGAAGTAATTTCTCGCCCCTTCACAGCCTCTAAAATAACTCAGCAGGATCATCATCTGGCTTAATAGCAGAGACAACTCTGGGAGTCAGCAACTGGGAAATAAGCTGATAATTTATCCACCATTTGTATCTCTCTCTCTCTTATCTCTCCCTTCTTCCTCTTAGTAACAGTTTGAAAAGTTGTGACTCCTCCTCAGTTTGCTTCTCTTCTGTAACTTCTACTTCTTCTTTTTTCTTCCTTTTGTTTAGTTTGGGTCATTGGGTGTATATCTGTTGACGGCTTGATGCATTTCAATTGTAAAAGAATATTGGGGTTATATATATTTGGGCTAATGAATAAAAATATTTTGAGTCTGAGTTTGAGGTTTATCATTCTTGGAACTCTTAAAGAGCAGTTGAGCATGCTTTGGTGAAATAAAAGATTTGACCGCTTTAACAATATCCCGTAAACAGAAATTGCCACATTAAACAAAAATTATAACAATTAATTTAATTAAAGCTAAAAAAGGAGTAGCTTCAAAGTTCAGAGTTCAGACACTCTCATATATAGAGAGACACAGAGAGAAAAATAAAAAAGGTATTGTCGGTGATTTATATATACTTTACAATAAACCACCACTTCCTCTGAAACCCTAGACTGAAGAAATCGCCGTCCTTTCCAGAAACATCTTATCTAAACTCTTCGCTTCATTACAAGGTTCGTACACGGACGACATATCTTTTGTAAATTGTCAATCTGTCATTATTGTGTTTTCGTTGAATCGTGTTCGAGATTTTAAGTAATCAGAAGGTTTTGGATTCATTTCTTTGTTGTTGAATCCATTTGCAGATCTGATGAAACTGGATCAGATCGTACTCTAGATCCAGATGCTATTAGAGTTGTTCACTCGGATCCATCATCACCATCGTCATCATCATCATTATTATGTCTCTTTTTCTGAAGGACGATTCGATTCAAATCCGTGAAGTATGGAACGACAATCTCGAATCAGAAATGGCTTTGATTCGAGAAGTCGTCGACGATTTCCCATTCGTAGCAATGGACACAGAGTTCCCAGGGATTGTGTGTAGACCAGTCGGATCATTCAAAACCAACACAGAGTATCACTACGAAACGCTTAAAACAAACGTCAACATTCTCAAGATGATTCAGCTAGGTCTCACTTTCTCTGATGAGAAAGGCAACCTCCCAACTTGTGGAACTGACAACAAATACTGTATCTGGCAGTTCAATTTCCGCGAATTCGACCTCGAATCCGACATTTTCGCCACCGATTCTATCGAGCTTCTACGTCAATCGGGCATCGATTTCGCGAAAAACAACCAGATGGGGATCGATTCGAAACGTTTCGCCGAGCTCCTGATGTCTTCAGGGATTGTGTTGAATGAAAATGTCCATTGGGTTACATTCCACAGCGGGTACGATTTCGGTTACTTGTTGAAGCTCCTGACTTGTCAGAATCTGCCTGAGACGCAGACGGGTTTCTTCGAGATGATCAATGTGTATTTCCCGAGAGTTTACGATATCAAACACTTGATGAAGTTCTGTAACAGTCTTCATGGAGGCCTGAACAAATTGGCTGAGCTGCTCGAAGTTGAGAGAGTTGGGATATGTCACCAGGCGGGATCGGATAGCTTGTTGACGTCGTGTACATTCAGGAAGCTGCAGGAGAATTTCTTCATTGGTTCCATGGAGAAGTATTCTGGTGTTTTGTATGGATTAGGTGTTGAGAATGGTCAGATTGTTCATTGATTAAAATAAAAAAAGTTTCTAAATTAATATGATAAGTTCTGTGTTCTTTATTTAGATTCATTTAGATTGTTTTTTACATCACCACAGAGAAAGCTGTTTGAAGAAGTATATGACCGCAAGAATTTACATTTTGGTTTGGTATTGAGCTCTCACCTATTTTGATTACATACTTTATCATGTTAACAACATCACTCAGTTTATTGAAAAATTGAAACTCTCAAAGAGACAATTCGGCCACCAAGAAAACGACGTCGTTTAATTGAGGACCCAAATCGAAGGAATGGCCCAGTGTAAAGCCCATAAAAGTGGCCCATTTTCTCGACAAATCTGTAAAAATCATTTTCAGCAGGGTTCGTAAAACCCTAATATATAACTCGTTACTCCATTTTTGGCTTCGTCTTCAACTCATCGTTGCAGCCTCCCTTTCTAAGGTTAGTAGTAGTAGTATTTGTACTCCTTTGCTCTGTTCCTCTTTTGAATTGATCTGTGTTATGTACGTGATTGTACAACTTTATTCTTCTTGCTCCGATTTGGCTTTGTAATTTCTTTTTTATGTGTGTATTTTATTGAGACTGATTTGCTTAATTTTTCTTGGCAGTTTTTGATTTTTGCTTCTCTTTGTTCGTAAAGCCAATTTCAAAGAGTCAATATGTCTGGGTAAGTATCCCTTGCGATACAGCTGTATTGGATTCTCACTACATTTTTTTTAATCTACTCAATCAGTGATCAATAGAGTTGATACATTGGGATGTAAGGTTGATAGATGCTATGCTTTGATTTGGATTTAAATGCTATGTGACTCAAATCTATAAATTTTCTAGTTTGGCATTGATCTACATAAAAATGCAGATTGATTAGTATTATTTGCATCACAGTTCTTACAGTTTAATTCGAATTATTGTTTAAAGTATCAAACGTTCTCATCATTTCAGTGATGAGGCTGTTGCACCTGTTGTTCCTCCGGTTGCTGAGGCAGCTGCGATCCCAGAGGATATGGATCTGATGACTGCAGTGCAGTTGACAGTAAGGAAAGCTTGTGCTCATGGTGGTGTGGTTCGTGGTCTCCATGAAAGTGCTAAGCTTATTGAGAAGCGTGTCGCTCAGCTCTGTCTCTTGGCTGAAGATTGCAACCAACCTGATTATGTCAAGCTGGTTAAAGCTCTTTGCGCTGACCACAACATCAACTTGCTTACAGTTCCAAGTGCCAAAACCCTCGGTGAATGGGCTGGTGTAAGTAGTCTTGTTTATAAAGCTCTCTTAAAGAATGTTTATGTTCCTCTCGTTCTACTCTTAAATCTTGAATGTGGTTGCAGCTCTGCAAGATTGATTCAGAGGGCAATGCTAGGAAGGTTGTTGGATGCTCTTGTCTTGTAGTCAAGGTAACGATACTTCTAACATTCTTGTATTCCATGAATCATGGTAACTTCTAAAAAATATGTATATGACTTGTGTACTGTTGTACTGTTGCTCTATATGTACACAATGTATATGACTTGTGTACTGTTGCTTTATACGTGCTGTTATGTATTGGCTGTTACAGGATTACGGTGAGGAGACAACTGCTCTAAACATCGTCAAGAAGCACATTGAATCAAACTAAATCAAGCAAAGGTCAAGTATCAGATGCTTTCACCCAATGAAGCGCATTTTTTTAACTTTTGGTCACTCTCTTTTTTTCCTCTTGTGTTCTTTGTTTTTGATATGTAATACTCGGTAGAGATTTTCTTTTGGAACATGAAGTTTTGACGTTATGTAGGCTCTATCAATTTCATCTTGCTCATTATCATTTTACAGTTCTACTGCTTTTAGTGATTACAGTATTCTACAAAACAAATTACGTATACTTCGGAATCATTTTGTGTTTTCCATTGATTTTATTGCATCATTTATGCTTACTCTCTTTACTCTCCAACAAAACCTAATGTTACAAGGTAAAAACTGAAATAGAAAACATTGATAGCATTTCTAACATACAGACTCGAAGACTTTTCTCTCTAACGGAACACATTTTGGTTAAGCCAAGTAAACCGACAGGGGAGAAGAACTTAAGTACAAATAAGATTTACATGGTCTAGTAGAATCAGATGTACCAGAACCAAGCTAAGACAGACCCTGAAGCCAGACCAATAACCAAGAAGAGCGTAATGACAGTACCTGCAGCTTCTGCATGTTGCATTTGCACAGCTTTAGGAGCCAGAATCATCAAAACACTAATCAAGTATCCGTTAGTTAATCCCAGTAAGCAGGTCAATACCATTACAGGAATCTCAGTCCTCAGAAACATCGGACCATGCAAGCAACACCAAAAGAGAGGGTAAAACAACAGCCTTGCAACGCAACCGCAAACCGCAATCCTCTCATCCTCAGGCATGAACACTGCGGTCAAGCATTTCCCAACTAAATCAAACACGTTGTAATTTGCAATGAGTAGAACAGGGTACCAATCTTTGAGACTCTGGGAATGAACATCCTCAGTGATGAATCCTGGAAATATCGACAATGTCACAACGTATATGAGAATGATCCCAAAGCCATAAGATTTGACACTTTTGACGATTCCCCAAAGAGTTGTTCTCCAATCAGATCCGGTCACAGAACCTTTCTTCAGTCTCTCATCCTCGCTTATGGCCTTGGTCTTAACCTCACTGTAGTACTTCATTACAGGAAGTGTTTGAGCAATGTTGTAAAACACAACACACATCACCATCACAACAATTCCGACACTAAAGTAAAGATTTGCACTTTTCCTTAACCCATCAGGGTTTTGAGGATACATAGCTTTAGCTAAGATTCTCAATATCGAAGCAAGCACACCTAAAAAAACAATGGCAAGACGATAAAACTGATTAGGATATTGTGACTTTTGATATTTTGTTTTCTAAGAGTTAAAAAAACATTTTTTTTACCAGAAGCAGCAGTGCCGGCGACAACAGCTTGCATATACCTCTCCGGCAATTCACCGGCGACGCCGAAAAGACCACCCTGCATAAAACTATCAGCGAGACCGGAGAACGCAACGACAACGGATGTAACATCAAAACCGGCGTAGAGACCGATCTGTCCCTTAACGTAGACCAGATCAAGAACGGGGATGATTAACAAGCCGCTGATGAAGACGGAGAGACCAAAATTGATTCTAAAGCTCGCATGTCTCTTTTGAGCGAAGAAGACGACGATAACAAGAAGAGAGACGAGACCAGAGAGCATGTAGACAACGGCGAAGATCCTATCGACGGCGGTAGAAGGGTAAAGGTAGGAGAAGTAATCTACGGCGGAGATGATTGCGTTCCAAGGAAGAAGAGAGCCGAGACCTAGAGTGAAGAAGATGATGTAAGCCAAATTGTATGAATCATTTGGTTCTGTTTTGGAGATGACGACAAGAAGCGGTTCTTCGGGTTTCCCAAAGGCTTCCATAAGAATCCGATTTGAGAGAAATGTATCTCCTTGGCGCGTACTGAGGGATGAGATAATTTTCAAATTTTGTGGTTTCTTTCACAATTGTGCAAGTTAGACTTTGTTTATATAAATATGTAAATTTTGTTGTAACTGTTATATATGTTTTTGTAACGCTTTCTTTTTTGATGTGTTGACTACATGCATGCATGTGTCCGTTATATAAGCTGTTTGGTTTTTCACCACACTTCTTTATGTGTAACCAAACAAAAAAAGCTAGTATATATTATAGTTGTTTTTGATAAAATTGATGGTTTTTGCTTGAATTAAGGGTAGTGACTGTTTTTGTTAATAACAATGTTGAAATGTTTCATGCATGCAATGCTCAAACCTGTTGACCAAAGAATTGCCTAAAGGTGGAACACTTCGTTTTTTTTCCTTTAAGACTGGATATATTTTTTTTTTTGTGAATTTTTCTTAATCAATTACTAGGAGATATCTCGTAACTAAAATATAGTATAAAATGTTATACTTGTATTTATTGTATGTTATCTTTATTTTGTTTGAGACAATGGTTACTTTTTTTTTGGGATAAAATTACATAAATATTTTTGAATTTAACATGTATATATAATTGAAAAAGATATAACTTCTGAAATTGTTGTTAATGGTTCTTTAAGTCCGAGTGAAGGGAAGAAAATCTCCGTCGTGGACTGAAGGGAATACCTTATACTGAAGGTTGATAGTAGATTTATCTTTAGAATATTTCTCCAAATACTGAACATATAGTGAATAAGTAAATATTAAAGTTTCTAGAGTGTTATTGTTTAGATTATTATTATTATTATTTTTATTTTTTATTGTTTAGATTATTATTATTATTATTATTATTTTTTATTGTTTAGATTATTATTTAGGTTTAAAAATATAATTTTTAAAAAATACGATATAAGAAGTGTTAAAAAAAATACGATGTAAGTATATCCTTTCTGTTTATAAATCATCTTCACTTAAATTTTAAATATTCTTATAATTTTCCTATTGAAGAAAGCCATGTTTACGAATTGTAACCAAAGAGAAAAAAGAAAACATAGGAAACAAAAAAAAAGAGTTGTCTTTTTAATGAGAGAAAGGAAATACAAATCGATCATTTCAATAAAACTCTGTACAAGGACAATATTTGATTATCAATAAAGTTTTAAGTGATATAAAAAAAAATCGATCATTTCATCTTTTCTTTTGGGGTTTTGATTTAGGGTTTCTGATATTTGAATTGTAATTTTCTTTCTTTGCGTGCGCGACGCGATGGGTGAAAGAAAAGGCTTAACCAAATACTATCCCCCACCCTATGATCCGGTGATCATTCGCCGGATCCGAAAACCTAAGAAAGCTATGAAATCGAGACACCTGGCCGTGAGTGTAGTAGACTCTATGCTTGAGGCTTTGAGTATAAGAGACAAAGAAGAAGAAGAAGAAGAAGAAGAAGTTGCAAAAGAGGAAGATGCAGCGTTGATAAAATCTATCAGGTTTGGTAAACAGAGGAGGATTGTAGAAGAAGACGAGGAAAATGAAAGGCAATAGATGAGAAGAAACCTAAGATTAAGAAACTTGCTTGCATCATTACCCTGAAGAAGAAGTTTGGGACTCGCATCACTATGCCACAACCATGGTGCTGATGAGGAAGACCGAATGAGGTAATGTTGAATACAAATCCAGAATCATGTTAGAAATCACATTGTTGAGATTAATATCATTACTATCTTATCTTTGCATATCGCAATAGGTTTCTGGAATTTATAAGAGTTTGTTTTTTAAATTACAACATTTTTGGAGTTTGGTTACATGATATGGAATAATTTTCAAGTTAATAGCCTGTTTCACTCTTCCCAAGTAAAATCATTGGGTTGGAACTGAAAACACAGAACCCCCAAAAGGTATAACATTTAACATTTAACTTTTTGACTTTATAATCATCTTCCTCAATTAGACTTCATCTCAATGTCTGCATCATCTTTTGTAAGAGTGTCTGGAGAATCTCGCGGTAAAAGACCGAGAAGAGGCAGAGGGAGTAATGAGCTAAGATTGCAGAGGATAATAAGTGTTGATAGGTTACCGAAACTGTCTTTTGTGATGCCGAATACTTGAGTCAGCCCTGCACCCATAAGTCCACCTAGAACACTGCCTCCATTAGAAATTGACATGAGTGTAGCAAAGAGAGTTGCCTCCATTCCTTCTGGACACAATCTCGCTGCTAACACAAGAACCGGCATGAATGAAGCCTGTGGCAGTTTGATTTTAAGCTGTCAGTGCATTGATACTGATACATTCCAATAATGCTGCACTAACTACTGAATTACAATCCGAGAACTCAAAGCCTTTGAAGAACTTAATGCAAACAAAAGCTTATACCTGAGCGAGGACTGTTAGGATTAGAGAGTCTCCTATAGCAAACCACTCGTCACTAATTCCCAACTGTCTGTTAAAACCTGACACAAGGATAACCTGCAAAACATAAGAGCGGTCCCAAGAGTTACTAATTGATTTTGTAGCAGGCATAGATGGCAAAGTTTTTCTAGTAAAGTGCAGATGGGACCAACCTGAGTCATCCCAAGACCTGTGCCAAAAATTGTCGTCACAAGAAAGATTTTTCTCAGCGGAACAGTCTTCAGGAATCCGTTGTACAGTCCTACTCCGAGCAATGATGCAATTGAGGTCACAAGTTTAACTCGTCCCAGAAACTCCGGAGTAAAGCCAAGTTTGTTTGTTCTGAGATGAATTTGAAACCAAATAACATAATTAGATTCTGTAGTTAATATTTAATACCATCTCACAATAAATATAAATATGCCGATGATCAGGAACCAAGTGGAAGAGGACATACGTGAAGTAAAACATTGCAGAATCTGAGTGTGGTGTGGCTTGCCATAAGAAGATAAATAAGGTCGGAAGGAAAACATTTGGCTGCTTAATGGCACTCCACAGCTGAATCATGTTCTGCTTTGAGGTCTGAAGAAAGCCAGGACTGACCAAGGCTATGTTTTCTTTCTGCCCTAATGCTGGTTTGACCACACGTTGTTCGTTCACGAGAACAGCAACAGCTGAAGTTATCAAAGGTAGTAAAGCTGTCACCCCAAATACAAACCTGAGGTATAACAGCTTTTAGAATGCCACTTAGTTAGTTATCTATGCCACATGATACCGAAAAAGAAAAGCTACTGTATGCGCAAATTGAGTACTGTACCTTACACCATATGACTCCACCAAGGAGCCACTAAAGTAGGAACTCACAATTCCACCAAAAGCTGAGGATCCCCAGCACAATGACTGCAGAGATCCCGACACGCTTTGTGACTCACCACGAGCCCGTTCCACTACCATCGAGTCTACTACCTATGAAAAGTTAACCACTCAACATTTCAATATGCTGGAATAACCAACTCTATCTTGCAACTCAACCAGGCCAAGTTAACCAGAATGCATTAGAAAACTTACGACATCAGAAAAGGCGACAGAGAGGGAACCGAGAAGTATACAAGAAGCAGCACTATATTTACTGTCAACAAAACCGGCCATCAAACTCCACGAAAATGCACCAAGAAGTCCCGAGAGAACTAGATACGACCTCCTTCGATATCCAAATAGAGGCAACGAATCACTGTAAAACAGACCAAGTTCCTTAGACTTTGCTATTGGTTCTTCAACAATATAATCAAAAAGTGCAAACAAGTAGAGAGTTGATGAAGAACACATACCTGATAAAACCGTATAGAGGCTTAACGAGCCACGGCAATGACGAAAGACCCGTTATCACAGCTGTCTAGTCAAGAGGTATATTTTGTCAGCCTAGAAAAAGATATTATTCCACGAAAGGTCCAATAAGGAACTCCAAAAACATTTCAATCAATCTCCTTAAAAAAGGGAATAACAAGGACATACCTCAGCAGGATCAAGATGCAAGTCATCTTTTAAATAGAAACTAACAGCGAGCCTTGCGAGTCCTAAAACACCTTGAACAAAATAAACCATAGCTACAGCAACATTGTCCGGTGATAATTCAACACCGTAAAACTTGGTTCTGCTACTAAGTTGTTTTCCTTTATTACGAGGCGGCTGTGTTCTAATACTAGAAGTATCTCTGTCTCCTTCCACATCCGTATTCGATGCATCTCCTTCAGCTACACCTATTTGAATGAACACCACACATTTCTCACATTAGAAATGAGAAATTAACACCCAGTTTCATGCATAATTCAATAAATCAAACAAGAACCCAAGTTTTAAATAAGAAATGGATGAAAGATGATACAACTTACTAATCCTAGAATCTAGAAGAAGGCTTTCCTCAGAATCTCGCCGGCGAGGAAGCTCCGGGATTGAAACAATGGAGGGCATATCTCTGTCAGGAGGTCTCCTACGAATATTCCGGCGTGATGCACGATGAGATCGGGCGGCGATTGAAAGGCGTCGTGTCCCGTTGTTGGCGGAGAGGACGGTGAATGGCAGAAGTGTAAATTGAGAAGGTGAGATTGGGATAGAGAAAAGATTGTGACTCGCCATTTAATTACGGGTTTGGGTTTAGGCCGTGTATTCCGCTCTCGACGAGTCTCTTGATTTTTTCTACTTTGTTTATTTATCTATTATTATTATTTTTTTGTATTTTTTTTTCATTTTCTGATTGTAGATAAATGCATAATTTTCATTTTTTTCTTTCCTTTTCTTACTTTTTATTAACACATTCTTTTCTTTTCAAGATTTTCTTTCTTTCTTTTTTTTGCTACTATGTACCAAACATTACAATCAGGAGGAAAATATAGATAAATCCACACAATATTCTAAAAAAACCACCAAAACAATATAAAAAACTCAATATTTTGTAAATAAAACTAGTAAATTACTACTACATATATATATATATTAATATTTTCTAACATTATATACATATACGTGACGTGACTGAGACTGAATGTGTGCCCCATAAGTTGAAATTATTCGAATGCTTAAAAAAGATTTAAAAACAAAAAAAAACAATATAAGGACTAGCATCAATGTATTATTGTAGTTGGATTTATATGCATTTTCTAAAATGTCAATTACGTTTATGGAAAATAATGTGACCAAACAAGTAAACGAACTTTCACTTAAATCAAAAAAGTGATAAATGAATGGTAGATAAAAAAAATTGTAAACGAGTTCATTCATTTCATCCCATACGATCGTAAAACCGCCTTTTCCACTACACCTTCCATTCAACAAGACCTTATTGTTGCGTATTTGACCGCTCGAAGCAACAAGGAAAGTTCTGTTTTCCTTTGCTTGTTAGAAAGATTCAGATTATATAATAATTCTCGCAATTCGTATACCAAGTATCATCAAATTTCCCTCTAAATTAAACGAAACAAGTCGTCTGTGAGAATTTGAGAGAGATCACTATTTTAAAGAAGCTTCAAAGAAACAAAGAAAAAAAACTCAATGGAGATCGACTCATTTACTACGATCAAACCGGCCGTGTCTTCCTCACTTCCGGAGAAAGTCCATCTCCGACCAATGACTCTCTCCGACATTAACGACTTCATGGTTTGGGCTACTGACTCAAAGGTCACACGCTATTGCACGTGGGAGCCTTACACAAGCAAAGAAGCCGGGATCGAGTACATGAACAACGTCATTTTGCCACACCCTTGGCTCAGGGCTATCTGCTTAGAGGACGACCGTCCGATCGGCTCCATCTCGGTCACCCCAGTCGATAAGATCAGAGGAGAGATTGGTTATCTCCTCGGGAGCAAGTACTGGGGGAGAGGGATCGCCACGGAGGCTGTGAGGCTTGTGGCGGCGGAGATATTCAAGGAGAAGCCGGATATGGAGAGGCTTGAGGCACTTGTTGACGTTGAGAATGTCGGATCTCAAAAGGTTCTTGAAAAAGTTGGGTTTGTGAGAGAAGGTGTTATGAGGAAATTTATGTATCTTAAAGGAGATGTTAGAGATATGGTCATGTTTAGTTTCCTGCCTTCTGATTCTTTACACTGATGATCTTATATGATCTGGTTTAATTTGCATCAATCACATCAGATCTATATAGATAATATATAGCGAAAATTTGTATTTTGCTTAGTTTGTATAAACCACATGTTATATAAGTCGATGTGCTGCTCTATTTCTCTTCTTCTCATGTTCTTGTAACCTTATTTACTATGTTTTCTACCAAGATTATTTGAGAGTACTACATATGCATGCATGCATAATGCCTTTCCGTTTCACCAGTTTATGTTGAAAATGCTAAAAGTACAATAAACGAAATGAAACATGAAATACGCTAAAAGTACAATAAACGAAATGAAACATGAAATACTTGATTAACTAACTAAATTAAGTTTAACTAAAGGACTAATATTAAATTTAGTTATACACACATGGACGAGTAATTTGATTCTTGCGTTGACTTGAACAGTTCAAACCTATTTGGAAAAGACGACAACACAAGATTTGCCACTTGATAATATGGGCATGTAGCTGGAAGCAACTTGGTAGGTTCGGATCAATACTTTGTTTGGCAACCAAGTAACTGTTGAAAGTCAAAGGTCAAATGTAGACAATTATCCATTCACACGATGACACGTAATCTGATGATGTCGTAGCATCAAACAATATCATAGACAACAAAATATTTAAACTCTATTCTAATATCAAATGGTACTATTTTAGTGTTTTTTCTAGTCAAAAGTAATGAGGAGGATCCTAAGTGTTTATAGATCACGATCTGCATATAAAAGACACCGCTTAGACGTGGTAATGTGATATCTCAAACAGTCATCATTACTCTGGAGATGGACTCACAAGAAAGTACTCAACCGATCATGAGCTCTTCGCCTCCGGCCGGAAGAGTATCACTCCGGCTGATGACTCTATCCGACGTCGACGACTACATGGTTTGGGCCACAGACCCTAAAGTGGCACGCTTTTGCACTTGGGAGCCTTGCACGAGCCGAGACGAAGCCATCAAATACATAACCGATCGTGTCTTGACACACCCTTGGCTCCGAGCCATCTGCTTGGAAGACAACCGTCCGATCGGCTACATCTTGATCATGGCGGTGGATGACATCAGAAAAGAGATCGGTTATGTCCTAGCGAGAAAGTACTGGGGGAAAGGGTTTGCGACTGAGGCCGTGAGACTATTGACGTCGGAGATATTTAAAGAATTCCCGGAGATTGAGAGGGTTGAGGCTCTTGTCGATGTGGACAATGTTGGATCTCAAAGAGTTCTTGAAAAAGTTGGGTTCACTAGAGAAGGTGTGATGAGGAAGTTTCTATGTATCAAGGGAAGAGTTAGAGACACTGTCATGTTTAGTTTCTTGCCTAGTGATACTTTGAAGTAATTGATCAACAGAAATATTATTCTGCAAGCGTAATCATACAGTACGGTTCATAGCACGGGACATTTGATATAAACTCACTGTTTTTGTTTTTTGCAATATTTTTTTTATAAATCCAGTATCCATCCACAAAAGCTTTTCAGAATATCACAGGAAAGAAAACGTCCTTATATGGACCTTAATTATGATGAGAACTTAAGTGCCAAACGTAATATTGCGTCTAACCATATCTCGACGCACTACACGATCCATAACCTTACTAAATGGGTAACCAAGTAACATCAGTACACATGTCACAAAGGGCTTATTCATGAAGAAAAGAGTATAGGCTAGAACTTACTTTAGAACAACCATTCCTCAAGGTATAAACCATTAATGCAAAAGAATAAATATAGTATCCAAGAAAGATGAACACTAAGAGCCCATGATCCGTTACAATTGCATAAGCTTCACGTCCTCCATATGGTCTAGAAAGGTGTGAACTCTACATTTCTTAAACTCATCCATTCCTTGGAATTCAACTCTTTTGATTGTGTTCCTCTCTGGATTGTAGTAGAAAACATCAGATAGATAGCGTGGCGCCAACACAATGTCATTTGTACTGGTCCTTCCAACGATGTATAAGTCAGACTCCTCTGCAACTACATTCTTCCACATTGGAGGCAATACATAAAGATGCTTCGACCACTCGTGTTTCTCAGCGTCTACTAGAACCCACAACTCAAGACTCCTAGTATGGCTATCAACAGTTCCAGATATGTCAAGCCCACCTGACTGAAGTGCACCTAACCTACCCTCATAGTTTACCAGAGTAGATTCACCATAGAGCGACATGCCCCTAGCTTTCTTAACAAATCTAAACTTTTCAGACCTAACATCAAAGCAAACTATAGTAGAAATCCCTGAACCGAAACCGACCATAGCTTGATAATACAAACAACCATCAATGATCATCCCATTATGTACAGGATGATGGGGCATAGAACAACCAATCATCCTCCATGGAAGTGATGGCTTCCCTAATGTAAGAATCTGATACTCCTTACAATTCTTATCATCGTTTCCATAACACAGCCAGGTCATGGACAATAACTTGAATAGTTTACCAATGGGATCATAAATCGAAAAGGTTCTGACTTTAACCTTCCTCGTCTTCACTTTGGGTAAAGGTAAGGCTTGTCTAGTGCTGGGGTTGCATATCATTGGTACCGTTTCCTTCCTTCCCTTTACGACCTGCCGATGTGTAAGACAGACCAAGCCGCGGACATCACCACAAACTTGAGAGGAATAAAACGGATCATAGTGAACCTTCATCTGATAACTCGAGGATACAAGAGACGAGTTCCCATCTGGATTTTGGGATTGCGGTGCCGTGAAGAAGAACAACTCATCTTTTTTCTCGCAGGCGAACAATAGTTGCGGGCGAGTTGAAGATCTGGTCAAGAACAACTCTGTGAAATCTGGACGGACAAGTATGGAAGACCAGAGCTTCGATACGCAGCGACATCTCGCAATTGATTTCGTCGGCAATTTCAAGAGGATTTCGTAAATGATATCAACTGGGATCGGCTCTGAGTTTTCTCTTCCGTTCGTTGAGGTTGGAGATTGTGTATTATTGCGACGAGAAATGGTTAGAGCATCCTCAGAGTCTTCCTGCCGCCGTGTTTTCATGGCGGCGACACTTCCTTCAACCCTAGTTCCCCTTTTGGACGACGAACTACACTGATTTCGATTTTCAACTCTTAAAGTCTTAATTTTGTGTTTTTTTTTTTTTGTTATTCCTCATTCACAAATTGGAGAAAATAAAATAAAAATAAATAACAACGAAACCCGTATTCGTAACCGTACCCGTTCATATCGGATAATGGATCAATATATATTTCATATTTTTTGAGTAATTCTAATTAGAAGAATTATTTGTTTTGGAGTAGTATTTATATAATTTACAAGAACAAGAGTTTATTTATTTCATCCCCTAGTTGAATCAGCCACACAAAATGGCTTTCTCATAAAAAAATAAAAAAAATAAAAAAATAAACTAGTTATGTACTTATGTCAAGTTTTAAAAGTCCTACGGATGGTTTTAAAATTCACGTTCTCCGGATGGTTTTCTATCACCTTCGAAAGCTTTCCATTCCAACTCTTATATATGATCATGTTTCTCTCGATATTGTTAGTAGAAAACTTAGCAAAGTACGCACGTATTGGTGGTTCGGTGACAACAAAAATTTCATTTGTACCAACGAAGTGCGAAGTCGTTTCAACTCTCACGATAGTGTTTCTCTTGATATATATCGATCTTAAGAAACGTATGAGAACGTTCATATAGAAAGCTAGCGCTGAGAGTCTGAGACATTCATCTATACCAGTCATTCCAACAATGTCTAACTCGATCGGCCTGCCTGCCCAACTACGTACGTATACCTTCCTCCACAAACGAGACAATACGTAAATATGCTTCGACCATTTCTGTTTCTTGTAAACCCACAACTCAAAACTCCTCACGACATAATTAAGCAAACCTAATTTACCATTAATGTACGTAGTTCATCAGACTTGTATTAAAGGTAAAGGCGAAATTAAGAGATCGTGCGTTATGTGAATTGCTGCTTTCGTACGTTTCCCAGTTCCCACTCCCGGAAAAAAAAAAGTACAGTATATATATATATATATATATAGATCATACGCCTATTCGTTTTGGATGCAGCCTTGTTCTGACTTTACTTTTGCAATTTGTGTTTTTACTTCTGGTAAAACTAATAAACAATTAATTCAGCCCTATACATATATATTAGGTTTGTAGTGTATAAGACTCCATTCAATGTCTGACCATTTCGTACATTATACAGTATAAGCTAATACTAGCTATATAGCTATACAATTTAAGACAAGTTGTTAATTAATTGTGATAGTATCATACGAAACAATATAAATATATTCTTGGGGTCTTTACTTATGAGTTATTAACTTACTACGACATGTTAAATCACTTTAATAAATATGTGATATTTCTGTTAACCAACCAAAATGTTTTCTCCTTTTCGCTCACTAACTTACTTAAACATATACAGTTTTTTTCAAGGTTATGAGTTATGTAAGATATGCACATAAGTATTCGAATATTCGAAACATGTTTTCTCTTATATCAAATAGCTGAATGTAACTGTTAAAAAGGTATTCAAGTGAATCATCATTTTCATTATACACTTGACACTTCTGCTTCTTCTGGACCACATATTTTTCCATATATTCCTTCTTTATTTATTTGCTAATGTTTTGTAGAGGTGATCATTGTCTGACTTCATCACATTCTACAAGAATGTTTTTGATTTATGTGTTACATTGTAATAGTAATAAAAGAAAGGAATATACAAAGTGTTGTTGTAATCACCAAAGCTGAAACAAGAGAGAAAGCATATATAAGGCAAATAGGAAAAAGAGAAAAGCATATATGAGAGATTGCACAATACACTACTCTTTCTCTCTGCACTTTCATACTCTTTTTCAATCATTTCATTCCTATACCAATATATTCATGTTTTATATCTTCACGCTATTCTCTCTATTAAATTGCATTCAAAAAAAAAAAACATTTCTGAATATTGTATAGCATACGTTACAAATTCCCTACAACTAATTAGATCATTACGATAAAGATAAACACACAAACTAATGATTGAAAATAATAAAACTTTTTGCATGCAATACTAAATAAATAAAGCATTGGTTATTTGCATTATATGTTAATATTTTGACTTATTATATGTTTTAGTTGACTTTCGTTGATCTCACAAAAAGTAAAACTCCTATAGTTTTTCATTTGTTTATTAGGATTTAGAGTTAATAAACTCTCAAACTAAGATCGGTAAATCTAAAGAGGGTTGGTTAAACACATGCATGCGATATTAAAGACGATAGCTATATATCATAAGTTCAGGACTCTGAGTTTGTGAAAAAGATTGAGTTTGTGTGAATAATGCCATTCCTATGACTCATGGTATTAGCAACATTTGATCATTGCATTTGTGTACTCCAATAGTATAATGTAGAATCAGACAAGGAGTGAGCTTCGAGGTTATCAAGATGAACGATCATCACAAAGACGTTATACTATCTTTCTTTTTTTATATTCTTTTTTCACTTTTTCTTTGGAAGGAAACAATCATAATGATTATGAATTACACCAAAACTAATAAAATATCATTGCTTTTGTTGTATAATCTTCTTTTTGTTACATTTAAACCTTACTTATGTAACAAGCCTTATACTATCATTGTCTCGGGAACACACTTCAATTTATAATGTAAAGAAAAGAAAAAAACTTAACTAGAAAGACAGATGAAATTGAAAAAAAAAACCTTTTCATCTGTCAGTTTCACAATCCTGCACCCAAATTAAAAAAGAATAAACAAGTTTTATCGATTTTATCTTAATCTGTGGTTAACCAGAATTAACTGAGATTAGAATTTAATTATTTACCTAATAACCACGCTGTATAAATAAGTCCTACCAAAAGAACCGGTTACAATCCTCTTTGTACACCTGTAAACCGGAAATTCACCCGTTAAAATCAGTTGAAACCGAACCGGGAAACAAATATAAGAAGAGAAGAAGTTGGACCAAACCTGTTATTTGTTTCCTTTGTGTTAAAAGGAGCAATGAAATGTCTCCATCATCATCACTCCTCTCCTCAAGGCTTCTCAACACTCGAACAAAAATACTTTAATTCACCTGACAAAAGCCGAATCAAATTATATACCATAAGTGATACTAGTATGATGAACAGTTATAGCTCTTTATGAGATTTCAGAAACAAAAGAAAAAGAAAAAAAAAAGATTTTATCAAGATTCAAGAATCACATCAGAAATCTTGGTTTCAAGAAATCTTCCATCATTATTGCTGCTGATGAGTGATGATGCAGAGACAATATCTTATCACATTATCGAATCGAATACACGAAAACAGATCGCTTTACCGGGTCCATTTTTATCCAAATCAACCTGTTGTGCCTTAAATGATATGAGAGAAACGTGTGGGTTATACTTTTCTTGGCTGATATATCATCAATGCAGACCAGTCTTAATGGGATGAACTTGAGTCTTTATCTTGTGTGTTTGAGGACCACAAACTACTACTACTAGTCTACTTACTACTACTTAATAATGGACTACATTGGCTTTCATTGCTTCATGTCACTGACACTACATTCTATCAGCTTATCTCCTAATTTTATGGCTAGATATATAGATTTTTATGAATAGAGAGATGTTGTTACCTTATAGAAGTCCTTTTTGATTGTCTTTTAGAAAAAAGTTAGCTCGGTGTATCCACGGGCGTAAGGTAAGAGTTCTTCAGCTTGGACCCGAGCAGTGGAGTGACTCGCGATTCGCTTTAATCTCTTGTGATTTGACTCCACCTCTGCGCTGAATATGCCATAAACCGGTCTATGATCTGAAAACCGTGACTCCCCTCTTACATAAGATAACTGATGCAGTCCTTCTCCATGCCACAGTATCCGATCACACCTTTAGCCACAAAACCATTGTCAGATCATTATATGGGTTCTTGTTTACTTTTTCTAAATGCAAGAAACTTACCAAGCAGGAGTACGACGTTTCTCCTTGGGATGCAAATCATCTCCTGCATATCTATCCGAGTTAGTCGAGTATTTGTAAGTTGGTGGGAAGTAAATCTTCCCTTCGTTCCATCCTTTAAACACATGGCCTCGTCTCTGCTCTATCCGTAACTGCAGCAAAACAATGTTTTATGTTTTTAGGAACAGAACATCCTATAAAATGAGAAATGTGAAACTCTATAGTCTCTAATGCTTTATATATGCATTAAATTGACAACATGTACCTGATCGTTCTCTAGTAATGCTCTCCAGTTTTGCATCTCGACAAGTGCTTTTGCAGATCGGTAAGAGAGTGCTATCCGGTAGTTCAGATCCCCGAGCCATATTACCCGACTAATCATATATAAACAAAGACAAAACAAAGTAAAAAAGATTTGAGTGCAAAAGTCATGATGAATTGGATCATGAATCTTTAAACATATCATCCTTGATGTTCGGTTTCAGTCTTACTCATGCTGAAGGATATTCTCGGGGGACTTCTCGTCAGCATAACTCTGCACACGAGGAAACCTTGTTTTCTTAAGTATCTCCATGACATCTGAGTTTCTCCTCAGCTCATCGCCTTCTTTTTGTCCAGAGGTCAAATGAGTGCAGACAAAGCAGAAGCTTGTTTGATGAAGCAACATACTAATTGAGATTGATCCCTACAAGAACCACAAAAGTACATTATAACGGTTCACTATCTAACCAACTTTTAACTGACTTGGTTGGTAACAAAGCATAAGAAAGTTTACCTTATTTCCGAGATAACCCATTAGTCCTCTACCAACACAAGATACTTTCATGTTCTTGACATGTTCTCGTAACTCGCTTTTCACCCAAATTGTTAAAAAGATACCAACCATCTGTTTACTTGCAACCAAACAGTACTGTGATGAGTTCCACGGGATTCTACAACCGTTTTCGTTTGTTGCAGGATCAGGGCATGACCCTGGTGAATTTAAGATTGTGCTTGGAGAATCCCCTGGACCATTATCATCATCCGAGGAGCCACACCGGGAGACATCACTAGGCCGGGAATAATCACTTGGCCTAGAGTAATAGTCACTTGGTCTTGAGTAATCACTAGGCCTTCTTGAGTAGTCACTAGGTCTTCTTGAGTAGTCACTAGCCCTGTGACTGCACCTGAAGCTTGGATCAAAATCACTTGGTCTATGACTGAGGAATACGCGGTCACAGACGCTGAAACGACGGTCAAGCCTTGGTTGTGAGATAGAAGGATCATTCTCATCCATTCGCCATACACTCGGTGTTTGGAAAGACCGTCGGTTAAAGAAAGCCTCGTTCTTTTGCCTCGAAGATCCGGAGAAGTCAGCATCAATCTCTGCAATAGGGACAGGAATAGGCGACGGAGTATGACAGACACTGCTTGTCCCGGGGAGGTTATTGAGTGTTTTCCTGATGAGGGAGTGCCATTTCTTAGCAGGACCATTGTCTTCAGCTCCAAGAACGTTACCAGCATTAAGAGGAACAATCTCTTGGAACCTAAAAAGAACACACATGATTAGTAAGAACTTTTCTTGAACAAAGACAGGCATTCTTGGAAAGAAGATGTAATAGAAACACACCCGAGTACGTATATATCTGCAGGAGCAGAAGAATGAAGCCATTCGTCGAGGTTTAGATCTTCAGGAGGAGAGCGTCCAGCAACGTTCCATGTAGCTACGAATATGCTGTTCTCAAGTATATCATCAACATAAGATTCAACTTCAATGGATCATCATAATATAAGTCACATATGTGTGTATGATTGTGTTCATACCTGTGGTTTTGGACATCAATGATTCTAGGATTTTCATAGTTCATTTTCCTTTGTCTAGCTTGCTGCTCCCAGTTCTTATTGAGTTTCTCTGTAAAACTCAGAAATCAATCATGAGAAAAAGAAAAAAAGAAAAAAACTGTCTGACAGAGTATTGATCATAGAAATGAATGATTCTTTACCAGTTTTACTCTTCTTGATAGTACAGGGCTCTCTTTCTGAAAAGCTGGCTCTGTGCTCAACTTCAACTCCTTAATTAATTTGACCAAAGAAGAAATCAGGATTTGAAATGATACACAACAATCCAATTGCTAAATTCTTTAATTTACCACAAAGAACGGTGGGTGCTTTTAGCAGAAGAAACAGAAACTGTCAATGGACCAGAAGAAAAAAAGAAAAAGAAAGAAGAGGTGCATTGAAATGTTTTGTTTTCTCAGAAAAGACAAAAAAAGATTGCAAATTAATGCAGTTGCAGAAGAGAACAAGAAGAAAGTTTTGACAAAAACAAAGGAAAGAAGAAGACTTTGGTTTACCTTGAGGAAGAGAAACGTCAGCTTGAAACTTTTCAGTTTTGCTTTTGATGTTGAACCATTTCCTCACCATCTTCTTGGACCAAGACAACTTCATTGTGATGTGAAAGAAAGAAGAACAAAGAAGAGTTAATGAATTTTGTTCATCTGAAAAAAAGAATCAAAGAAAACATAAACAAACCTTGCTATTCTTGGATTTGTCGTCTCTCATTGTTTGGTCTTTAATTGATCTACAGGTTTGTTCTTGAGGTGTTGTCCTTAGAATAGAGACTCAATCCATCCAACAGAGATCAAGTCGAACAAATTTTGCGGTTTTTAGTTGAATCACTGCTTCCAAAATTGACAAGAGAATTGGCTTGGTTGGATTAGAATTAAAGGATTTTGTCTTTCAGAGAGAGGAATTTAAGGAAATGGGTTGAGTTTGTGAGACTATATTCTTCACCCAACAGTGACAAAATGAGAGAAGATTGGTTCTTTAGAATAAGAAGAAGTAAGAAAAAGTTGTTGAAGAGACAACAGTTCTTGAAGGAAGACAATGAGGAAGATCTTGGGAGAGAGAAAGCAAAACAAAAAAAAAGTGTGATTTTGAAGAGAGAGAGTGAGTGCTTGTTTAAGCTTTCTTCTTCTACTTCTTCTAGGAGAGAGAGAGAGAGAGAGAGAGAGAGTGAGTGAGCCAGCAGCCTCGTTCTCAGTGAAACGGCAAAGTAAAAGCAGCAGCAGCGGATTTTGAACAGAATAAAGCGCAGAGAGAGAGAGAGAGAGAGCTTATAAGTAAGGAACCTCTTAACCTTAAGATTAAGACTAATCAATTCTTCTTTTATGGGCTCTCATTTTTATTTTTATTTTTATTTTATTTCTAAGTTTACTACTAATATTTTAGTCAATTTATTTGTTATTTGTTTTTTTTTTCTTAAAACGAAACTGTTGTTAAAACCACATGTTTTTTGATTAATAATGTACTTCAATTCATATACATAATTATTTCATGATGAATGGTATGCAATTTGTTGAAGTTTTGAAACGCGATTTTTATTACTTTATATACCATTTATATCATCTAATAACTTTTACAAGAAAAAAAAAATTTGGATGCATAATACATATTTTAATGGTTGTGGAAAGCTGTAATAAAAAATTATATCCCACACTATTATGTTTTTACCGAGTGAGGGAAAATTCGAAAAGGAATAGTAATATCTGATGTGATTGTTAAATTAATAATAATTTTATTTATTGACATAAATCACTATTGAGTAGTATTGATGATCAACTTAATAAAAGGAGTGATATTGGGGGATCGAGAGGTCTGTGTCTCTGTGTCTTTGTATCATTTAATAGCTCGAGAAAAAAAACCCTACTATAAGATACCAAGATCATGACGCATTTTAATGTATCTCTGGTTACGTTAAATGGACTTACCAGAAAGTAAATTGTTTGCGTAAACATAATTTGTATGTTCAATGTTAACTTAACACACTTGTTTCTTTTGTTCTTTCTAGTAAAATCGTAGTACGTAGTACTTGTCAATGTGTCATCAATATTTGACGTAACAGTACGTAACACTTCAATTCTTCATGCTAATGCTTATATATGTTCCATGTTACTATGGTTAAACAGTTCTGCTAATAAACCAATAAACAAGACTTTTGAATGATTAGTTTTTTGTTTTTGCTAAGAGAATGATTAGATTTTTCCTTATCTCACTAAACAATTATATCCGATTTATTGTTTACGAAAAATCAGTACACATGATACTTGAGTTACTTAAACTTTATCGTTAATTCTCTACAGTATAACTTTTTTTTGTGTGAGTCTAGCTTGAGCTTGAAACCTTGAACTGTGTAGACCAAAATCTAATGTAAGTATTTTAAAAAGTTTTCCTAGTTAACCGTTAGACTCGAATACACTAACATATGATTTTGAAAGTTTATAAAAATGCTAAATGATATGATCCGCCCCTTTAACCAAGTGCGCATTACGTTACGTAGCTTCAACAAAAACAACAACAATAAAAAAAGTAGGATTCCACACACAAGAATAAAGCAAGAAATTAAATTATATAGTAACAAAATGAGTTAGTAAAACAAGATGAATCTTGGATGCTTTTGACCGCCTCGTAATTGCTGAATTTTGTTTTTTTAAGGATATCAATCAAATCATTTTCGATTAAGGAAGGGAGCAAAAAGTTAATGATTATATATGTGATATAAAACGAACCATAGTATACTATTACTACTATAATACTTTAGGAAAGTTCTTCTATATAGTATATATATAACTATGAAGTCATGCTTTTACCGTTTTTTGCCACTCGAAAATTGATTTTGCAATTGCCAAATTCAACGGCTTTGACAAAACGTGTAAATTTTTATCTGAAAAAGACGGTCACGTTTAATTTCGTTGGATGACAATGACTATATACATGTATTCATGATTCATAATGTTTTATTATCCATGATTGATTGGTTTATGTATATATACATACACATAATAATGTAAAATATATGCATGGGTAGTCATTGTAGTTATAATGTCGAAACGGATGCTTTTGCTTTTATAAAAAGAGACAAAAACAATTGAATATTTTGGATAGGATGGTTTTTGGCTTTTAGATGGCCAGATGCCAAACATGCCTTCATCATTATATTTCTTCTTCTTCTTTCCCATCCCAAAGTTTCTCTGCCTCACAAAGTCACAATGTTGGTCTTCTTTTCTCCTTTGTACATTTTCTTCCACCTTAAATTATTTTTCTTGCTATATCATAGTACTATATTCATACTTTATATATCTGATCAATTGATCATAGTATGTTGTATGTACATGAGTTTATGGTCTATGCCCTAGAGTTCAGTTTGGTGCGACTCTAGCCTCTAGCTATGTTGAATAAAATGATCACCAGGTCGTACGTTCTTGATGGACTGATTAGGGGTTTTTCCCCCCAATTAGATTACGAAAAGCAGAACTCAACTTATTGTATATGTTTTGATTATAAACTGCATGTGTAATAAGGTATCATAATATAAACAAAAAAAAAAGAAAAAAAAAACTACATTAATAATTGGTATTTATACTGCATGATCATCCATATAAAGAGTTTGCCTCCACAGAAATAAACGATAGATCTTCCCACGAGTCGTGTTTCTCCGTCAGTCCACTATCACACACACGTTGTCATTTATTCAGTAAGTGTGAGTTGTTTATATAACATGTACACTTTGATATATGATACTATATATCCATCATTACTTTTTTGTAATCCCTATATATCTAAGATATGATCTACGTACGTTTTAAATAGGAAAAACATCAAAAGGATTAGAGTTTGTTTCAAATGACACATGTACTTGTTGTCCACAAAGTCTTCGAATATGTCGCTCACATCTGTACACAAATAATAGGTTTTGCTAAGCTATTTAGTAACGTAAGAGAGGTAATTAAGGGTTTCTTTGCATTTTGTGTACTATATAGTTTTCACTATTACAGTTTCATATGTTTATTAACTTATCTGCTAACATTTATTTCTTATTTTACGTGATTCATAAACTTTGTATCAATGCTTTATAATCAATCGAAGGATATTATCAATAAGTATTCTAACAATTTTTCGTGTTTGAAGAATATAGAAGGTATCGTTCAATTGATATTTATAGCTAGACTTTAGAGTATCTTCTGCCCAAACAATTGTGCTCCAAGAAAAGAATAATAATGATACTTATTGTTTGAATTTTTTTGGAAATTTAACAGAATCTATTTATAAATAACTAATATTTATAGGAAAAAAATAAAATATAAAGAAAGAAAACAAAAAAGCCGAAAAAGAAAAACATATTGAAAGGGAAAGATGATATGTCATTACAACAAGACACATTACACTTTATTGTGTTTGCCTTTTACTTTGTCTGGTAGACCAAAAAATATATGTAGTAGGGATAATATGTAAATTTTCTTTACTTCTCCTCTTATATATCTCATAAAAAGCTCAGCCAATCCTATTATTTGTGTAAATTATTTAAGTATTTTATAAGTAAATAACACAAAAAATTCTACTCTATATATAATTATATATTTATGTTTAGAGTTTAGACTTCTTAAATCCTATAATGCATACTTAACTAACCCGTTTGTGGTAGAGCATGACTTGTGAGTTTGAAATGGTGAAAGAAAATCTTGCTAACCAAACTATAACCAAAAGAAACTTCAAACTTCTATTCAGAATTAAACCCGTTCAATTTTTTACGGTATGCAAAATCAAAATAACCAAACCGGAACCAAAACTGTTAAACCGAATTCTAAAGGTTCGACTTCGACGTCCGACACCAAAAACGCAGCCGTTTATATGATTTGGCAAAAACTCGCGTGTTGTCGTTTCTCCTCCTTTTGTGCTGATTTCGGTACTTCCGGCTAAAACCTCTAAGGGACGCCTGAGTTTTGACCCGATCCTGATATCTTCTTCGATGGCTCATCTCCCCAGAGTTCTTATGGTGAGTGAATCAAGTCTTACTGATTTTGATTCTTACTTCTCCATCTTCATTTCTTCATCTCTTACGAATCTCTCTCTCACGTTGCTTTCCTCAGGTGGCGGAGAAGCCCAGCATTGCCCTCTCCATAGCTTCAGTTCTCTCTCGTGGCCAGGTTTCTCTTTCGATTTCTCTAGTTTCTCAAAATTTAATTTGAATGAGTACAAAAACCTCTATTTGGTAGCACAACTTAAGGGATAGATCAACTGAAGGATGTTGACTGAGACCTATTTTATCATAGAAACCATGTTAGTTTACTGTTATTCGACACTGGATTTTACTTTATTAACTTCACTGTATACTTTTTCGGAGTTGAATAACCTAAATTTAGTTGTGTGTTTCACCTTGGAAGTCTGAATTGCTTGTAAGAAAACATTTAGTAAGATTACTTTGGAGATTTTGGTTTCATGTATGTATTTCCTCCTTTTGCTTCAGATGTCTACAAGGAGAGGCAGTACAGAGGTGCATGAATTTGATGGCATGTTTCGAGGCTTCAAAGCACATTTTAGAATAACATCTGTTATCGGACATGTTTTCAGGTTCTCTCTTGCCTCTCATTTTTTATTCGAATCAAGAGAAATACAAGTGATTGCTTCTGCATAGATTACCTTTGAACAATGATATGTATTTCGTGGACTATATCTCATGTACACATTTGCTGTGACAACTACTGCTTTCAGATATTCTTAATATTTCATAGCAGTTCCTCAGTCCCTCTAAATGCCACTCTCATATTCTAGTGTAGATTTCCCAGAAAAATATCAGAATTGGACAACAATTGATCCGCAAGATCTTTTCGACGCTCCAATTCTTAAAAAAGAGTCAAACCCAAAGGTAAATAGTTCTCACAATCTTACCTCTTTTCTCTGTGCCTGGGGTTTAGAGGGGGGGGGGGGGTGCTCTAGCTGGTTTTTTTGGCGTTTACCTTGGGCATTGGCAGCTGTAGTATATATTTTATTGCAACATCTGTATACTCTTAAGGGATGAGCTTTACTGCTTTGTCAAAAAACAACATGCATGACTTTTTGGAACTAGATTTATGCTTATGGTTTTAGTAGTGGAGATACAATAAGCATGACTTTTTGGAACTAGATTTATGCTTATGGCAAGTAGTGGAGATACATCTTTCTAGTGGCATATGCATCTTACATTATTCTTCTACAGTAATGTACACATTTCTCTAACAGTCTTCAAATCTCAGGCTCATATCTGCAGGCATTTAAGTAATGAAGCTCGTGGTTGCAATTATATGGTGTTGTGGTTGGATTGTGATCGTGAAGGGGAGAATATATGTTTTGAAGGCAAGTCTTTTTGATTACTTTTTTCATTTATGCTCTCACCAGATTTTGGTAGAGATATACAGAAGTTATTGCGTCTAACCGTTGCATCTATTGGTGATTGTTGAATTAATGAATATACGTCTTCTCTGTTTCTTTATTAAACAAATCATATCAGACTACTGAATCTGTATATTATGCCAGTATGCAGCAATTGTAGACCCTTTATGTTGTAGTAGTATATTATGGGGTTATGTATACAGTTAGCTCCAGCATATGTGGTACAACCACCAATAGTTTTTTCACTTTTATCCTGCATAAGAACTTTTTTGATACCAGTCATATTTGGGAATGCTCATTGTTTTGATGGCTGTTGCTATAACTTGTTGACCATTATATTTTTGTAGTTATCGAGTCTACTGGCTTTGACATGAAGGATAGTAAGAGAAAGGTTTATCGGGCACGATTTTCTTCTGTGACTGAGAAAGATATATCAAAGGCCATGGACAACCTTGTTGAACCAAACAGAGATGAGGCACTGGCAGTAGATGCTCGCCAAGAGATAGATCTAAAAGTTGGTGTAGCGTTCTCACGATTTCAAACAAGTTATTTCCAAGGCAAATATCAGAATCTAGACTGCAGAGTTATCTCGTCAGTTTCCTCTCGCCTCCTTCCTTTTTTTTCTTTTTGTTCAGTGTGTAGAGAGTCTCCGAACAGATGGGTCGACTGTTTTCTTTACAGATGCATTTTTTTCTTGGTCCTTTGGAGTATTTGATATGGTTGATTGATCATATGAGATTCGGCTGTAGAATTCTATTGTGGTTATCTCCTGTCATTTAGAGTGTCCTAGTAATGGAATTTTATGTAAATGCTAAAAAGGAGTATAGACATAGCTTTGCAAGACTTAAGGTTTTATGTTGTCTATCTTAGTCGAAGCACCTCTACATTTTTAATATTTGGATAAGAAAATAGCTGTCATGATTTAACGATGGTTCTGGTTCTCCTATTCAAGTATTCCTTAGAATGCTGGAAGGAGTGTGCGCAATTTTCTGTCATACTTAAAGATCCTTTTGAATGTTTATTTCAGTTACGGGCCATGCCAAACTCCTACTCTTGGGTTTTGTGTGCAACGGTACATGCATATTAATACTTTCAAGCCAGAAAAGTTTTGGGCCCTGCGACCTTATATAGCGAAGGATGGTTATGAGCTTCAACTAGAGTGGGAGAGACGTCGATTGTTCGACATGGAAGTTAGTGTCTCATTCGTGTGTTAGAATTTCTTTGACATTCTTGACTGTTGCTTTCCAATCTTACGTAACTGATATATTCATGCTTTTACAAATTGTAGGCTGCTACTGTGTTCCAAAAGTTGGTCGTGGAAGGCAGAACTGCAAAAGTAATGGACGTATCAGAAAAGCAGGAAGTTAAAGGTCGTCCAGCTGGTCTTAACACAGTGAATTTGCTAAAGGTCAGAGAAGTCATGAGTCGTGATTATTCCTTTAAATGAACTTGCCTCGTTGTACATTATACTTATAAGCGAATACTATATCTGGACCTATGATTGCAAAACTCTAACTGAATTATTCTGCATTCATCTAAAGCAATTTTGCTTCTATCAGCTTCATGGTTGTTTTTTGGGATGAGTTGGCAACAACATTGGGATCTTTGTTCTCTTTGTTTTTTTTTTTTCTTCTGTCTTTGTTTTTTTCAGTGTTGCGTTTAAGCGTTTGCCATTACTTAATCTTGTTCATGAGTCTAAAACTCATCAAAGCTAGTTTTGAAATTACTCTCCCTGATTTAGCATAACATTAGCTGTTATACAGGTTGCTTCAAGTGCGCTAGGGTTTGGGCCTCAGACTGCTATGCATCTTGCTGAGCGATTGTATACTCAAGGTTTCATCAGGTTAGCTTGCTCCATTATCCAGATTATTATATTTGTCATTTAACTCCTCTTTACCAGCATATCATTGGCTAATTGTTATAAATCTCGTTATTGAATGGTATTTCTTTGTGCAATTAAGAATGGTAGATAGGAAAATGAGAAAAAAACCTTTGCCGACAAGGATATGCATAACATTACATTTTTCCCTGTGTTAGACATTAAACCTTTAAACCGTTTTCGTCATCATCGTGATGGAATTTTGTTTACTCAAACTCTTATGTTTTGTGCTAGCTATCCGCGAACAGAAAGCACTGCCTATCCTTCTTCATTCGACTTCACAGACACACTTAGAGCACAAGTTAGTAATCCAGTGTGGGGTGGGTATGTACAGAGACTGCTCTCAGACGGCTTTCATAAGCCAAAGTCAGGAACCGATGCTGGAGACCATCCTCCTATAACGCCTATGCGAGCAGCAACCGAGGACATGGTTGGAGGAGATGCTTGGCGACTCTATCAGTATGTCTGTCAACATTTTATTGGCACCGTCTCACATAACTGCAAATACATAAGGTAATATAGCCTTGTTTGTAGCTTGATCCATGCCAATTACAACTTTTTTTTTGCACATCTTATATTTGGCATTCTCTTGGATGAATATCTCAGGACTAAAGTGGAATTGTCAATTGGTGGAGAAACTTTCCATTGTACGGGGCAGCGAGTGACAGAAAAGGGGTTTACAGCTATAATGCCATGGTCTGCAGTGGATGAGAAAAAACTCCCTTCTTTCCTCAAAGGAGAGAGGATTGAAGTTTTGAGAGTGGAGATGTACGAGGTTACATTCTTCTCCAGTTTCTGTTACTACTCTCTTTGCCTTCTACTAGGACAGAATTTTTGTATATCCTTTCTATTTGTCTCTGAATGTTATAAAATCTATCTACAGGGCAACACTGCGCCTCCAGACTTCCTTACTGAGAGTGAGCTGATATCTCTAATGGAGAAGCATGGTATAGGCACAGATGCATCAATACCCGTGCATATAAACAACATTGGTGAACGTAATTATGTTCAGGTGCGGTTAACCAAAAGGCAATATATTCATGATTACAATATCACTTAATTTAGGAGGATCCATTTTTTGTTTCTGAAAATTTTTATTACTTTTATTTGGCTTTACTCATTCTTGCAGGTCCAATCTGGGAGGAAATTGGTTCCAACGGCATTGGGAATCACGCTAATAAGAGGCTATCAATGTATTGATCCAGACCTTTGCTTACCAGACATCCGTAGCTTTATCGAGCAACAAATCACTCTTGTTGCCAAGGGCCAAGCTGATCATTCACACGTTGTTCAACATGTTATTCAGCAATTCAGGCGTAAATTCAGTTATTTTGTTCAACAGGTTGCAAAAATATGTCTTATGTTGTCTTTGAAGGCATTAGTTTGATAAAGTATTTGATTTAGATCCGGTCTTACTTAACATCTCCCTTATATTGTTATTCAGATCGAACACATGGATGCCCTCTTTGAAGCACAGTTTTCTCCTCTGGCTGGTTCTGGTCGCCCTTTAAGCAAATGTGGAAAATGCTTGCGTTACATGAAACATATCACAGCAGTCCCACCACGTCTTTTCTGCGGCACATGCGAAGAAGTTTATTATCTTCCTCAAAAGGGCACAGTGAAGGTAAAAGCGTTACCATCACCTAAACTCCTAAGCTGAAACCTCAGTGAATGTCTAGTTTTTGGGTTTATTTTTATTACTGAATCCTATCTTAACTGATTTTCTCACAGCTATACAAAGAACTCACATGTCCTTTAGACAACTTTGAGCTCGTGATCTATTCAGTTCCAGGAGCCGAGGGGAAATCATTTCCACTATGCCCATACTGCTACAACTCTCCTCCATTCGAAGGCATAGACACACTTTTTGGAGCATCTAAGACGCCCAATGCTCCTGCCAAATCGAAAACTGGTTCAGGAATGCCATGTTCCCTCTGCCCTCATCTCACATGCCAACACTCTGTCAGAAACCAAGGAGTCTGCGCTTGTCCAGAGTGCGAGGGCACACTAGTATTGGACCCGGTGAGCTTCCCCAAGTGGAAACTCAACTGCAACTTGTGTAGTTGCATCGTTTTTCTCCCAGAAGGTGCTCATCGCATAGCCACCACTGGTAATCGCTGTCCCGAGTGCGATTCAGCAATCATAGAGATCGATTTCAACAAGAAAACTACTCCTCTGGAGAACGGAGCCACTCTGCATCAAGGATGTGTTCTATGTGATGAGTTGCTTCTCTCACTTGTAGAAGTGAAACATGGGAGGTCCTTTGTGAGGCGTGGAGGAAGGGGAAGGGGACGAGGGAGAGGCCGAGGCAGAGGGAGAAGAGGCTCAAAAGCTGTCGACCCAAAAATGAGTTTCAGAGATTTCTAAAATCCTAGAGAACCCTAAAAATCTATGTTTGTCTTTTCGTTAGTTGCATTACAACTTTACAAGTAAAAACAGTAGATTCAATGATCTTACATGTTGCTTGCTTGACATAAATTTCTAGCTTACTATGAGATATTTGACTATTGATTAACTGATTATTTCACATTTGTCAGACACGTATTTAATTATCTAACAAAGCTTCCCAAAATCTCTAAAGCATTTGACTATTTCTTGTCACACTATTATAAATGCCCTGAAGAGAAGCTGAAACAACCCAAGTGTAACCTGTTTATGATTGCCACGTGTTACATTTCATGCATACAATCACTCCATTTTTTTATCACACCCACAAGTATGAATGCATGATCTATTCTCTTTGCAATCACTCTGTTTGTTTTCTTGCTTAAACTTTTTTTTGAGGAGAAAGAGAAAATAGTTGGTTACAAACAAAATGGAGAAGGCAGTTCACTCATCGACGACGTCTGGACCGGTGGTTCCAGGGGACGCAACGAAGACTGGAACTTCCATAATTGACACTGCTGCCTCCGCGGTTCAAAGTTTTGCTCCGGTTAACCAAATCCACCAACATCTCTGCGCGTACGTATCACCGAATCATTTTTAATATTGCACCTTGGATTTGTGGTTCTCGATATGATGAAAGTAACGAAACAGATATATGTATGTTTAGAATATATTTGTAGAAATAAATCTTTTGTCTCAAAAACAGAACATGTTTTATCAAAAAAAAATGATATATTGTGATGGCAGGTTCCATTTCTATGCTGACGACATGACACGACAAGTAGAAGCTCACCATTTCTGTAGTCACGTGAACGAAGAGATGCGTCAGTGTCTGATCTACGACGGTCCGGATGCAAACGCTCGTCTGATAGGATTGGAGTACATAGTGACAGAGAAGCTGTTCATGACTTTGCCTGACGAAGAGAAGAAGCTTTGGCACTCGCACGAGTGGGAAGTGAAAGGAGGTTTCTTGTTCATGCCTGGTGTTCCTGGCGCCATTCAACGTAAAGATCTTGATAAAGTCGCTAAGACTTATGGCAAAGTTTTCCATTTTTGGCAAGTTGATTTGGGCCATGAGCTTCCCCTTGGTTTACCTAATATCATGATGGCTGTTACCCGCGATGGCCAGCTTTTCCACGAGATGATTCAAGGTAAGAAAATTCGAAGATTAGTTCGGTCATTTCTTATTCTCTTTGAGAGATTTCTTGCGGGTTACGGTTTAAATTTCAAGAAATAAATTTAGACAGTGTTTAGTTTATGTTTTAAAAATTGGTGTAGGTGGGTTATCTAGGAACTAGTGCTCATAACCATGACATTTATCTTTTAGGCGTTGAAATTATGAGCTTTCTCTCATCAAGCGTCATAGTCATTTTTAAAATTTAGACATTAACCAATTATCATGTGTTGTTCGTTTACATATAGAATTTTCAAACTTTCTGTTTATGTAGAGTTAAATTTATTGGCTCTAGGCTCTAACAATGATTTGATATATATATATATATACTGTATATAGCATAATGTAGTAGAAGTCATTTAATTTGCAGCTTGTGGTTGGATATGACCCATATGGCCATATCATATAGGCATGGACGCTGAGACAGAGAAGTGGTAAATTAGTACTCGTCTGGGCTGGATAACGCTTAATGTCGCAATGATCATTGGTAAATTAAAATTGGATCAAGGCATGGATTCAGAGAAGAAAAAACGGCTTAGTGTATTGTTAAAGAAACATCCTTAGACCGGTCTAACTAGTATTGATATGGCACAATGTAGTTAGGACTTAGTATCATTAATAGCTGATCAGATGTGGATCTAATTTATGGATGCAGAGGCAGAGAAGCGGTTTGGAGTATCAGTAGAGGGGGAGAGGGAGGCAAGGGAGTATATGACAGGGCCAGAGCTTGGGATCCATCCACTGGCCAATGGAGGAGGAAAAGGGATGAAACTAGAAGTTAGAGAAGTCGAAATCAAGCCGGTTTAGCCTGTTGCCAAAGTCTTCTTCTGATTATTACTTAAACCGTCTACTAATAATGCCACAAGGTCCACAAAAGCAATGAATGTTTTGATAAAAAAAAAGTACAGAAACTAGAAAACAAGCTAAGACACTTGACATACTAGTTCCTTTTTATTTGGTTTTATTATTCTTTTGGATATTACTAGTAATTAATTAAGAAATAATATCTATTAGTAAAGATGATTAATTGGTCTTTGCACATTTTATATATATATTATTTTTAGTTAGAATAAATAATAAACATCTTGAAAGGGATTTGCAAATGTAACCATGAAAAACACTATATCAAACATTAATTAGTAGTATTTAGATACGATAATTTGGCCAACTCAATAGGACACAGACATTTAGAAGCCATACTATCTTGACCAAGTATTGAATTTTAGATAATTATAAAATCAGAAGAAGTTTCTACTCACCTACGTATGTGTATATGATTATAAAAAATTAAGAGATTACGAAACTGAAATTGAATTTGCAACATCATGACTTTTATTCCCCAATCAAAAATTCCTTTGTACAGAAAAATATATTTATTAGCTTTGCGTGTGACTCTGCGACCTTTCTCTCTCTTTTCAATATTTCAACATGGATCATCAAATCAAGAACACCACACAATGAAGAACAGCAACAACAATAACAGTTCATCAGATTCGATTCAGAACCATCATCATCATCATCATCCATGGAAGCCAAAACCAACCACTCTTTTACTTTTCCTATCTCTCCTCACCATCTCTCTCGTTCTTCTCCATCTCTCTCAAAACAAAATCATACTCATCACTAGCGCAACGACCACCTCCATCTCCATACCTTCCGGAGACGACACGTGTCTCGGCCGCTACGTATACATCCACAAGCTACCGTCTCGGTTCAATCTTGAAATCCTTCAAGATTGCGATTCTATTACAAGACCAAAGGACAAAATCAGTATGTGTGAGTTTTTCAAGAACTCAGGATTCGGAACTCTGATCGGTTCTGACTACACTCCGAGCTGGTACGCGACTAACCAGTTCATGCTTGAAGTGATATTCCACGAGAAGATGAAGAGATACGAGTGCTTGACGAGTAACTCTTCGCTTGCTTCGGCTGTTTATGTACCTTACTATGCTGGTCTCGATTTCCGGCGGAAATTACGGCGGCGTAACGTAGCTGCGAGAGACGCCGCCGGGAAGGAACTTGTTAATTGGCTCAAGAAGCAACCTCAGTGGAAAGGTACTGTTCTACCCACTTTAATATTATTTCGTTTTGACCCCTAATGTTTTAAATCATTTGCAATTATTGCTTGTTGTTTTAATTTCATTAGTAATTAATCGAATTATTCAAAGCTAGCGACGACTTTTCGTTTCTCCTATTCTACCGACGACGACTTTTGTAATTGAAAACGTTTTAATTTTTTTTTTTTTTTTTTAAGTACACTCTTTCGCTATAAAAATAAAATAAATTTATAAAACAAGCTACACATTAAAAATTCTGTAAAGCTACACAAATTATTTTTCTAATAGAATTGTAATTTTATTGTGTTTGTTTAGTCATTTGGTCAGTTAATTGCTGACAATAACTACAAAAAAATAATTCTCAGTTATTACTAATTGAAAGATAGGTTATATTAGGTGAAGACCATTTCAAACTACTAAATAACTGACAATTATTTTTGTAGTTATATCAACTTTGTTGTTGTTGCAAATAACATTATTTTAAATCTAATAATGTACTGTCAATTTTCTTAGATTTTGATCAACCAATTTTTTTTTTTTTGATAAAGTTAGAATTAAATTTCAGTTATCTCTGATTTGAAAATACAGGTATGTTAGGTAAAGACCATTTCCTCGTAACCGGTCGGATATCACGAGATTTTAGACGAAACTCCGACAAGAACTCCGACTGGGGAACCAACTTAATGCTCTTACCAGATTCACAAAACCTCACTTTCCTCACCATTGAACGGAGTCTAACGAGCCACAACGAGTTCGCGATCCCTTATCCGACTTACTTTCACCCAACGTCAACCTCCGAGATCATACGGTGGCAAGACAAGATCAAAGTCACTAACCGGACGGTCCTCTTCTCATTCGCTGGAGCTCAAAGACCGAGCAGAAACCAAAACGGTTTGGTTCGTACTGAAGTCATAAAACAATGCAAGAGTTCGTCTAAAACGTGTAGGTTTCTTGACTGTGACGTTAAAGCCAATAGCTGCAATGATCCTATCACTCTGATGAAACTTTTCGAAGGCTCGGTGTTTTGCTTACAGCCACCGGGTGATTCGTTAACCAGAAGATCGGTGTTTGATTCGATTTTGGCTGGTTGTATTCCGGTTTACTTTAACCAAGGAAGCGCATACAAGCAATACGTATGGCACATACCTATGAACAACAGCGAATATTCGGTTTATATACCGGTTAAGGAGCTGAGAAACGGGGGAAAGAACAAAATCGAAGAGATTTTGCGTGGAATACCAAATGAGAGATTGGTTGGTCTGAGAGAAAACGTAATAAGGTTGATTCCGAAGATTGTGTACAGTGAACCAAACCGGAATAAACCGGGTGGAGAGGTTTTTGAAGATGCTTTTGATATTGCTTTAAAAGGAGTGTTAGAGAGAATAGAAAGGATAAGGAGAAGATAAATTTCAAGACTGATGATGATGAGGAACAAATTTTGTAATCAGACATTACAAATTCATTTGTTATTGTATTCAATTTTTTTATCAGTTGTTTACGTAAAATTAAATTAGTGTAATTAATAACAAATAATTTTTTTTTTTACTAAACTTTAAGATAAATAAAAGACTACGTGAAAAAACGAAACTGCACTAAGAAATGGTAATTATAAAATAGATTAGCATTTTTCTGGTTACAATAATTAGCAATTTTTCTCTCTTTAATTATCATAAGGTCACCTTATATGAGTATAGTTAGTTTTGTGAAGACGATGGAAAGAGAATACGTGAAAGAACTCGATAACAAAATGATCAGAAGGATTGAGCTTGGCTAACAAAAATCTTGCTTGTCCATGGAGCGAACTGTAACACAGTTGTACACACTAAGAAAACACAGTTTCTTGTGGTTCACCACAATCATATAAATATATAGCCACTTTGGATGGATAATAAATGAAATGTAATTAGAAAGATGATTTGGATATTACTAACCTGATCATGATATCTATAATATTAAACACATATACGTCTAACCTTTGCATGGTGAAAAGTCCACGAATGATCGATCCATTTTAGTGTTACCTCTTTAAGGCTCTAAACTCATCATATCTTGCGATTAAAGCTTACTCTTAGGGACAGAAACAGATAGAGAAGAGACGTTATATGATCTCCATACGCAATATCTAGCTTTTGATTAACGTTTGTCAATGACTTGGTCAAGTCTCTTAAGTAAACTTTTTGGTTTTTGTTATTGTTTGGGTCAATGACACTAAGATAGCCCATAGTTATTGTTTGGGTCCAAAATGGCATAGAAAGTCATCTCAAATTTTATTGATTGGACTAAAAAGTCTAGCAAAATACAAATCATAAAGCCCAATAAAGTTTGCACCCAAAAAAAAAAAAAGCCCAATAAAGTTAAAACCATTCTAAAAGCTGAGTATTTACAAGATTTCTAAACTAGTAATGAAAACATTTAAAAGTCCCAAGTATCATACTACTTGGTAAATTTGATTGTTGCCACAAACATAGCAAAGACACTCTTTGGCTTTTGAAATTTAAAAGCTCTCAAATCTTCTATATCATCTTAATGCAATGTTCATTTTTTTTGTGTGCATAACATGGTCTCAAAGTATTTACTTTCAAGGTTGTGTATGTCTTACCATCAGTAGTTAGCACAAAATTTGTAATATGAGTTTATGACTATGTAACTTCTAAAGGTACGTACATGAAAGTGTTGTTTCTTGTCGACGTTATTAAAATTTTATAACCATATTTGCTATTTTGATTGTTTGTTAAAGAGCTTGGTTGTATGAATTACATGAAAATGAAACTATATTATCCAATGCGAATATATAGAATACATTTCTTCTTGTCCGTAACAGATTGAGTTTATAAAATTATGAATGAATAGTTTTGGCATACGTAAGAGGAGGTGCTACGTGAGCAGCATGCGAAGAGAAGAGAGGGCAGCTGTCAAATTCAGTTGATACGTGCCGCTCTCCTAAACCATAAACATATCTCTCTCTTGCATTATGATAAAAGGAACCAAACAAAAAGACAATAATAGTTCAAAATCCAATCGAGGCGATAAGGAAAATATAAAACCCATGATCCCTCCCTCCTTTGGTCAAAATTAGACTTTTAAAACTGTTTCACTTGGTGCAATCGCAAGCTTAGCTGATGACAGAAACAATGTTCACATTTAAAATAATAAAAAAAATCATATAAAAAGAGGTTGAACATAAGATGTTTTCTTTTATATACAAGGACATTCACAGTTTCCGAAATTTCTGTCTTTTAACATATTACCGGATCTACCAAATTATATGATGAAATAACATATGTAACATATCATGAGAAGTTTAAAATAAGGTTTCACATTCTCTCATCTGAATTCCAACAATACATATGGACTAGTTGACCCATCAAAAACACCAGAAAAAGATTGGTTTGATTCATTCAATTGCTTAAAAGAATATCCAATTGTTTGATTCATTCCATATTTAGAACGAATAATTATTAATCCGGTTAATAATGGAAACAAAACTACCGAAATGAGCAAAGTCACATACGTTAAAAAGGGTGGGGGCTCACTTCACGTGGAGGGGGAGGGGAGACTTGGATCAGAAAGTAACTTAAAAGATGCGGAACCCCGAAGGTGCCGATGGCATGGGGAACCCCAATTTCATTCACGTACACCCAAACACCAAACATCAACTCTCTTTCCTCTCTATATAAACACTTCTCTCTCCCTCTCTTTCTCTCCCACACACACACACACAAAATATACAGCAATCAGTCTCATAGGGAAAACAAAACAAGCTTTAAAGAGAGACATTACGAGGCAACACAAATCACACAAAAGATCAGACTGAAGTCAAAGAAGAAGGGTAAAAAAAATGTTAATGAAGGTCTCTCTTGTATTGTCACTGTTAGGGTTTCTGGTGATCGCAGTCATGACTCCCTCGGCAAACGCTTTAAGGAAGTCCGTCGTTCTCGGAGGGAAGTCAGATGTTCCAAATGTTAAGGCCAACAGGGAAATTCAACAACTTGGAAGGTATGCATATATGATAGTATGATACATTCACTTAATACATATACATATGTTCGTATGTATAAATTAGAAATGTGATGTGATCGTGTGATCTCAGGTACTGCGTGGAGCAGTTCAACCAACGGGAACAGAGCGAGGAAGGAAACGTCGAATCGATTGCCAAAACTGATACAGACATGTCAAATCCATTGATGTTTAGCCGAGTTGTGTCGGCTCAGAAACAGGTCGTCGCTGGGACCAAATACTATCTAAGGATTGAAGTGACTCAACCCAATGGATCCACCAGGATGTTTGACTCAGTTGTGGTTATTCAACCATGGCTTCATTCTAAGCAGTTGCTCGGTTTCACTCCTGTTGTTAGTCCTATCTACTAACTTCATTTCATATTCTACTTAAAAGTTATACCACAAATTTCCACAATATGATCAAGAAAAGACAAAAAAGCCTATGGTACGAAACTATTAACAATGGTTGATAGTTTGTTGTAATGATGTTGTTAATAAATAAAGACAAGATGTTAAGAAGATATGATGCGACTTGTTGAGATATCAAAACCATCAACAAACTTGGGATGTTCCATCTCTTTACAAAAATATAACTTAAAAGGGTTCAAAAAGAGGCCACTACATACCCATTTTTCAGTTTAATTAAAAATTTTCCACACATCTGATCGATAAAGAGTTGTATATAACAGCGCCAAGAAAGATACAAATAGTTTTGTAAATAGATGAGCTTACCGTTAGACATTAGCTAAATCTGTTATGTTGGTTTATAGAGCAAGCAACCAGTTCGTCAATCAAAGATCTCTTGAGCCTCGATTATGCTGTGCTGCCTGAGAAGATCACAGAGTTGTGAAGTTTCAGATCTTAGATTCAGAGAAAATGGAAAAGCATGAACAGAAAGAAGAAGATATGAGAGCAATAGGGTTTTGCTTACATATCATCTTTTGCGACCCGGTAATATTTTTCAGCATGTTGCCGCTGGCCAATCATTTGAGCAAAGCGTTCATCATGGGTAATGACTATGAGCTGGAAATTCTCTTGGCCCTTTCTGTCTTCCATGATCCTGGAGAATGCAATGCAATAATGTGGTCCAATGTTGAGGCCATGGTCTTAGGATGTGTAACAACGTTAAGGCAGGGTAAATATCATAATAATGATTCCAGTGTTTAGATAGTTAAATTTTCTATGCAAGAGGAATTATATGTACCCATGTATCATCATCATGTCATTAAAGGTATGGATCGTAAATCTGACCTAAGAAGAGCTCCTGCAAGAGATTCTGAATTGGGCCCATCCAGGTTTGTAGTTGGCTCGTCAAGGGCTAATATTCCACAGTTTAAGCAAAATGTCTCTGCTAAAGCCAACCTAATAATCAATGAAGCAAGAACCTGCAGGAGAAGACGAAGAAGAAAATGATCACCTGAGTTAAACAACGAAGCTTAAAAGATTATTGAACTGACAAAGATGCTTCTACATGAGCGAATTTAGAACAACTCGCCTTTTGACCTGCGCTGCATCTTCCTCTCATTTCAAGTTCTGTATCACCAGTCTGCATAAGAACCTAAGAAAAAACAAGGTTTACCACAATGTTAATGGTGACCAAATGGTAAAGCATGTTGTCGATTCTGTAGCATACCTTGTAGCTGTAAGAGCGGGTGCCTGCACCTTCGGAATCCGAGTGTATTCGTATGTAATCCATATCTTGACCTCTGTATGTCTGCTGCCACAGTTCCCTTATAATCTTATTAATTTCCTCCATTTTCATTGTGTGGAACCGCATTAGTGCTCTGTAAGTATTCAATAAGATGGAAATCTATGTTAAAAACTGCAGACTAAATGTTAGATAGTCTAAATTGAAAAACAACTAGCCAGAAGCTTATATTAGGACTCGAAAACAGCTTACTTGTCAAGGGCATTGTAGTATCTATCCAAGTCTTTATTTGCCATTTCAGTTGTCTGCAAAAATGAAATGTTCAATTAAACATAGAGTGGAATTTTGTTCATCATTCAGGCACTGCCACAAGGTAATACTACTACTTACCTTTAGTTGGATCAGTTGATCAAAGTGCCGCTTATCTATGTCCTTGTATTGTGCCTGTTTTAGCTCCACTCTGTTTTTTGAAATACTGCTCTCGTAAACAGACACTGTTCCACGACATCGGTTCAGCTACAGGAAAAAAATCATTATTCTTTAAGCACAATAAAATAGGTTCTGAAACCTTTAAATGGATAAATTATCTTTAGATAATCCAAAAATACACAGGATAACTCGATGTTCACACATATCAGTTGCTAACAGCCACGAGTAACGGTAGTCAGTGGAGAAAATCTGTTACCTATAACTGATCATTTTAAAATTATATATATTTTGGCTATCCTGAAACAAGTATATAAAGACAACCACCTCGGATATTAAATACTCAAATCGGAGAAACGCACGATCTTACACTCACCATCATGCAGAACAAACGAATAACTAACCAGAGATACCAAAATAAAATCAGAGTGACTGCTATAAATATATAAGAATCTGCTCACCTCTGAAAGAAGTCTTTCTCTTTCCCGTGATATCTTTACCATTTCCGCTTCAACTGCGGGAATCCCACCAATATTCAATATTTGCTCTTCCAATGATTCAATTTCACGTGTAAGCTCCTCAACTTTTGCTTTTGTTGTTCGGTAGTTCAAGTTATCCTCTATATTTCTTCTCAGTTGATCTTGATTCCGCATCAAGTCTTTATTTTTGTTCAGTTCACCTGCAAGTTCATTCTTTCTAGCTTCATTGCTCTGAAGCTGAGATTCAGATAACCGCTGCTTTTCTAGAATATCATTTAGGCGCTCTCCTTTCTTCAGTTCATGATACCTAGTGAAGCAGTTGTAAGCATATCTGGTACACAGGATAGTAATGAATTAACCTTTGGCTAGCAGAACATACTCATTTATCTTAGAACTGGCCTTGAGCAATGCCTCAACTTCTTGTTGGTAGTTTCTCTTTCTCTCAGCCAGTTCTTCATACTCTTGATTACGTCTAACCTTCATATCATTGTAGTTACTCAGCAACTGCTCCTTTTCCTTGGCCAACGGGCCAAGTGCCTCGGTTAAATACTGAAAATAATGAAACGAACAATAAATTCAAGGATTCTAACAGAGAAAAATTGAAACAACAATAACAGAAGACTGAAGTCTACTTTTTGCATGTTTCGAAGAACTACTTGAACACATTTCAATGAATGAACAAAAAAATATACTCGAAGCTTTTCAAATTCGAAAATCTTGAACAGTTACAAGCACTATACCATCCAACTCAAGAGGATGTTATTGCTACCCATTTCTTATGTATTCTCTACATATCTATGTTGAATTGCATTGCGTTACTAGTAGCAAATTTAATCAGAAAGACAATGATTCACTAATCTGTTTCATCACATTCCGCCAATTGTAGTACTCTCGTTCATGATCATGGACCTAATAAATTAAGACCTTTATAGTCGCCAATGAACAACGGACTTTGATATAGTGCCACACATAAATGCATGTGGATAACAATCTAAAAAGCTCTTATAAGTTGCACCTTCACGTCAAGGTCAAGTTGACTTTTCTCCTCGGCTAAACGCTCTAGGTCTTCTTCTGCCTTTGTAACATCACGTAACAAATTGGCTGCCTTAGCCTTCTCCTCCCTTACTGCATGCCATCTGGCCTGGAGGCATGATATATCACGTTCCATGTAAATCTGGTCATCTCTAAGTTTCTCCAGCTCATTGTGCAATTTATCCCTGTTCAAGGATACAAAAGGAAGATATTATTGGAAAAATGTGTCTGCCAGACTAAGAAACGTCCAATGAAGAGAAATATGTTTTACCCTACATAAATTCAGAGTACTTTTTTTTTATGCACCCAACTACAGAGTACTTACTTGCTGCTTTGGAGGCTATTTAATTCTGATTGGATTTCTTCCATAGTTTTAACCCCAAGACCCCTGAAATCGAGCTTATATTCAAGATCTTCTATTTGCTTTTGGTAGGATACGATTTCCTGTAAGATCCTGTCAGCATTTTCCAGGGGCTGCACCAGTGCTTCAATTGAGTCTTTGTCAGCTTTTATTTGGGCTGAGATGCCTAATACCTGAAGACATACACATATATAATTTGAGATGCTATGAACTGGAATTAAGATTTTCCAGCTTGTGAACATAAGAACATGATTAAGTGGAAACAAAGCAAGCAGAAAACAGCAAGATTTCTAATGATCCCCAACTCACATCATCAAGAGCTTGAGACTTCTGATCCAGCTCTTCTGTATGCTCTTGCAAAGTTTTCTCAGCGAGAGGAATAATTTCATTAGTTAGTTTCGAGTACTCTTCAAAAATTCCTCGTAGTTTGTCCAGCTGCTGAAATACAGAGTCCGAATTGGAAGACTGCACTGCTAACATTTTGAGATGCTCCGCCGAGCTTGAAGCATTTAGCCTTTGCTGTATTTGAAAAGAAATTTTACATACTTAAATAAAGAGACGTACAGTTATTATAGAAGCATCAAATAATTTGAATCGTGAGGTAAAAAACAGGGGGAAAGTTTGTGTAACCTTCTTAACAAAGCTATCCTCTTCTTCAGATGTAAAAGAGCGCTCACAGCAAGGACAAAAATGACGTGAACGTGCTACCTCCTCAAAAGGTTCAAACATCTGGCGCATACCAGTTGCCATGTTATATTTTCTGCGAACACAGACCAGAAACAGAACTACGCTTTTGAGTGCAACACAGGAATATATTGGCATTCACGCAAACATGTGGGGTGATGGGGTGGTGGTATGGAAACAGTCGCCAGTTTTGACCACAAACCTTTTATGTTCATCTCTTATCTCCTTAGCTGACTCCAACAATTTGGGATAAGCATCAATGGTAACCGATTCCTGTTTTAAAGCCTGAAGCTTGGACTCAATGTATCTCTTTCTTGCTGCATAAAAATACTCAAGTCAGATTAAGTGCATAGATATTTTCTAATGATCCACTATGTACTGACAATGGATTTCTCATCTGTGTTACAAATGCCAATTCAGGTACGTTGTAGAAAACGAAAATCAAATAACGGGGGTGATAGATGATACTCTATATAACATGGTCTAATAATTGGTATGACTGACAAAGTTGTCTAGAAAATGATATCCACAACTTAAGGCGCTAGTCAGAGAACTGACCAATAGATATCTAACTTCAAATTATACAGCAGTGCTTACATTCTGTATCCTTGTTATGCTTGAATAGACCATTGTTTACTTCTTGTATCTTCATCTGCAACATGTTGACCTCCTTTTCTGCTTCTCGGGATTTCAAACTCAGCTCACTATATTCCCTTTCAATTGATCTAAACCAAAGAGAAAACAAAATACATAAAAAAAAATTTGAGATATATTTGAACACCTGAAGTAGCAAGCTTTTCTCTCTTTGTTTTGGGATCCGATATCTTACATTAATCACCATAACTTAATAAGTTAAGTAAAAACACTACCTCAGGGCTTGATCTATTTCCT